GTACAGACGTAAATATAGATCCAGAAAAAAACTAGAGCGTATTAAGAGGGAGCTGGAAGAACTCCGCAAAGAACTTTTTGGCCATCCAGATGCCATTCGCAAATTTCCCAGCGTAGATGACGCTGAGAAATATGGTTTAAAGTCAGCACTCATGGGATCATTTGACCGCTTTATCACGACTGAAGATGAAGAAGGAGTCGAAGGGATTCAAACCTCCGAGGAGTGATGAATTGCCTTTAAGTTTTTTTGCTCCTGACATCTTAAGTGTACTCTTATATAAAGCACTATTGTATAGTAAGTTATTAATGAACAATTACTGCACTACTGAAATAGCTGTAACGAAAATAATAATTTTAAGCTACGGCATCATTGTTTGATAAGTACTTTTGTATAAGAGAAAGTGGTTATCACCTCTTTTATTTTTAAAAACTATAATATATGTAACGACTTTATTCTCTATTTGTCTGTATTATAGATAACAACTCATAAAAGAGAAATTAGCCTTGAGTTAGCGTTTTTTATAAAAACAAGTTGTTAGGTTTTAAGTTCATCTCTTGAGCTATATTTTAAACTCTGTTCTTTGTTTTTAAAACCTATTGTTTCAACTGCTCGCCATTAGAATACAGAAAGTGATAGAGTTCTTACTTTTATTTTCTAAAAGTTAAATTTGCTTCTCTAATAATTATAATGGCTTGAGTATATATTATAATAGTAATAGTAAATTTTTTTACAGAACAAAATATATGGATAAAAAAATAACAATAATAGTACTTGGTTTTATGATGGAGAAACGAAGCGTAGGGGTAAAAAGAAGTGACTTAAAATTTTCCGTGTATTTAAAAAAGAAAGACAATAACCTTGTAAAAAGAGGACAGGAATAATAAGTTATCTATTTTACCAGTCTATTAAAATTGAAACAATCAAAAAATATGTTTATATATTCTATTAATACAAAAACTGGATAATAATTATGTATAGTACGACATCTTTATACTTACCTTTCAAGATACAGTGCACTTTGCGTAAAAATGCACTCGATGTGAAATTAGTTTACATATTTTTTACACTAAATTCTATAGAAAGTATTACAACTGTAATAAATTTAAATCTACCAAGTTAACCTAGAAGTTTTAAAAAAAATGGTCTTACCAGTTTAAGTCAAAAGTACCTTTACATTATTTTAAGCCTACCTTTTGGGTTTTCTTATCACAGTTTAAAAACAGACCTCCTTGCCAGGCGTAACCCTTCACCCTTTACGAAAGTGTATATACGTTTTGCAAGCAGGGAGTTTGAACGCGGGGTACGACCGTGCTCAACTATGTACATGGACTGTGATGTAGGTCTTTGTACAGATCTTGCTTTAACTTCTAGAATACTCACATTTTTTTGGATTATAAAAATTCTACTAAAAATAATTCGTGTAAACCGACAGTTTACAAAATGTATCTTTACGATCGCACCATTTAAAGGGTTTATAAACGGTGGGCCAAAATTTTTTGGTATAAGGGTTTCTTTGATGAAAGCAAAGTATGATATACGTAAAAACGTGTCGGTGTATGCCAGGCCAAATTTTTATTTATTTCATGCATTGTGTACGCGTTGCTTTAAAAGATTTAAAGCTTTTCTAATATATTGGGCGTTTTATCAAGTTTTAAAACTAATGTAGTATACTTGTTTATGTAAAATTCCAATTAACATTGTGCTCGTGGGATATGACAACAGCATCCTCTTAGATTAATCCGTTTATCTTAAAATTATAATTCACTACCATAAAATATTAACCTTATTTAGTTGTAATGAGTACGCAATTAATTATTTTCTCTTCTTCCGTTGTGGGTACATAGATTTAACGTCTTCCCCCTAGGAGGAACGAATTCTGCTATATTCCTTTATAATAAGCGCTATCTTCATGCATCTTAAGTTCTGTTGTTCTTGATTTTTCTTCTGAAATCTATGATCTTTGTCGCCCTTAGAGTCCTCGTTTAGTTTCCTTTTTCCTACGATCTAGTTCTACGTTCTTTGCTACCTTGCTTAACGGTAGTGCCTTCTATCTAATATTAGTTATTCTCTACAATTTTTACTCAACCATTCAATTTTGCGCTTTTTATCTTCATAGGACTTTACAACCAACTTGTCTATAAACTCAAGGCAAAATCCCTTTTTACTTATAAGAGACTACTTTTACCAAACCTTTTTTCTAATATTTACTTTGAATTTAAAAATGAATGTGGGCTCTGACCAAGAGTGAATATTTCAATATGTGGAAACAGCTATACAGAAGACCCTTCAAGCTCATATGAAGCATTTCGAAGAGATTTAATTTTCAAAATAGAAAGATAAGATCATTACCACCTATATGAGACTCAAGCTATTAAAAATTCAACGTTGAGGATTTTCGCTTATTACTTCGCTCGAAGGCAATATTAATATTCTTTTTAGGTCTGGCATATAGGTTAGTGCTAAAAAAATTAATAAAATGTCTTATATCTAGTTGCCCTTCTGCGTAGTTCTTTCGTTTGAACTATAAAGCCTCTTAACCTACGAGGGAAAGAAATAGGCAGCGTCAACACCCTTTTTTAAATCGCTTTGCACTTATCCCAGAGAACTTTAGTTTCGGACAAGTAGGCACATACAAACACTGGCTTCCTCAATAGAACGTTACGATAATTTTATTAAAAACACTAATTGGCATTCAATGGCTTTAAGATTCAGACGTACTTGGCAACACACTAGGTCAAAAGCAATAGTTTGAACTCGAATTTTCTTGGCCTAGTTCATCTACCTCCTTGCAAATGAAATATTATTTATAAAAATTTCCTATCCTTTATTCACAGACACTACTGGAACAATAAAAAGTTTATGTAATTTAATTATGAAAAACTAAAAAGTTTGGAAGTATAAGTCATCAAAAATTATCGTTCGAGTTTGATATATTTTTTTTACGCTGCTCTAAAAACATAAATATATTAGTTAAATAATTATAAATTCCGATAGACCATGACTCTTTCCGCAAAATAAACATTGATGGGTGCTTGTGTTCTACTCTTTATAAAGAGGGTAACAGAAATTTATCGCAACGTTTTTTGAAGGATTGAATGGGCGCAAAAGAGTGAAGGATACTACTTTTAAGTAATTCCTCGTAATGTTTGTTTATATTTTTTGCAAGGAAATATAAAATAAATTTTCATATAGTGTTTTAAATTTTGAATAAAAGTAACTTGCCGTTATATGTTAACTATTATAAAAAATTGTAAAAAGTTTTAAATAAGCATTTTAGAAATTATAAATTTTTTACAGCCCTAAGGGCTTAAAGAACCTTCTTTTAACTTCAAGTTTTCTACTCCGCTTTTAACAGGTTAAATACGTAAAACCACCACACCGGGGCCAAGAGTTGTCGTGGCAGCTCAACGGTTTAGTGAGCCGAAGCGTATACTCAAAGTCGTGGGTTCCGATCCCACAGAAGCCACTCTCTTTTTCGGTCTTTGGTGGTCGCGATTTAACCTGGCCCTCATAAATTCTATTAGCTTCAAAGACCAGAATAATTAAGAAATACTCAGAGAAAAACCCTTTGAGAGAAAATAAATTGATATGGTTATAGTAATAATGTTAACTTTGAAAATACAATTTAGATGAGTTTGGACGTGCAAAAAATGAATAAATTAATTTTTTTTAACCCCCTCTAATAAGTAAAACTAACTACTACAACAAGGAAATAGAACAGCAAGGCATCACCATTAAAACTGTTTGTAGTAAGTAGGAATTTGCTAGTCCTCGTTGAAGTATATAAATTATTTATACAGTTTCATTTATATTACGCTTAATTAAATTGTTGTAAGAAAGATATAGATCTGTATGCATATAACAAAAAGCCTTCACTGGACGAAAAATCCACAGGATATATATTTTTTCCAAAAAAATTACCTATTAAGAGAATACCCTGAGAACTAAGAATTGCTTTTCTTACAAGCCATAATAAGAAATGTTACTGACAGAAAAAAACGAGAGCTATTCGCATTTTATTGACAAAGAGAACTAAATTTAAGTAGCTAGCATATTAAAGTACTCGTAGAGCGATAGGAAAAAGCGTTCAATTGAACTACAGGACTCGGGCACATCATAAAAGCTGAGTTCGGTGCGCCATTTACTCTAAGATTTTTAAAGGAAGATTAAGAGATGTTAGTTAACCACAAAGAGTTAAAGTAGACACTCATAAAATCTGTGTTATAACATCATCTGTTGTATTGCTTTTAAAAATTTTATGTTAAGCTTGGAGATTAAATTACTTCGTTTTAAAGACGTACTTACAATTTTTTATTATTAATTTTAAATTTTTGTTACAATTTTTATATAAGTTATAAAAATTATTATTAATTATTAATATATTTACATTAATATCTTCAATCCCTTTTTATTGATAAATAATATTGTTCTCTATTTCACCTAAGATCAAAATAATTTAAAAAGGTTAGTGCTCTAGCGAGACTTAAAAAATAACAAAATGTTCGTAAAAGTTAATTTTTTTATTGTCACTATTATTACGTTTTAATCTAAACCACTTTAAAAGCACTAACACAGGGGAAGTGGCTTGTTGACAGTAATTACTGACTGCAACTGCCCTTTCCTTTTACAAAAATAAAAGATCAAAAAATATCATTCAGATCTTTATATTTTCAAATAACAATAAACCAAACTTTATGAAGTACATTCTTTTATTTTTACTTAAGTTTAAATATTGATTCCATAAGCATATATTTCTATCAGCTAAAACTTTTTTAAGTACTGCATGAAAAATTTTGTGTTTTTTAATATATGATTGGAAGAATGGCTGATCAACAGAAAATAACTTAGTGGCCTAAGAACCGATCGAGGTTAGCCTTAATCTGTTGATTGAGGTTATACGAAAGTATATACCTGACCAACAAGCCTGAGCATAAACATTTTTTTGTCTGCATAATTTAAAAAACGAGTTGTCTGATTACTCTCAATCATTTATTGAGAGATTTAGTATTTTTACTCTTTGTTTCTTTCTTACTATATAGCCTATCTTTGGTCTCTGTAAGTTTAAAAAACGCCGGGGATGCAAACTTTTTTAAAATTGTTATTTTCCTACTCAAGTTAACATAGTTCTAATTTTTTTTTTGTAAGCCCATTGATATGTCGTATGAAAAGTTTCCTACAAGGAGATTGCGCCTTGGTAACTCAGTTTCTTCTCTCCATATTACATACTCTTCACATCAGGTAGACGTTAGTAAGCTTGTTTAGTATGGAGTTGCGAAATTCAAATTTTGTAGCGTGAAAATTTAAAAAAGAAAACCACTATTAGAGATGAATTGCAAAACAGAGCAAAAGCGATTCAAGAGAATGTTAATTTTTATATACCTTTTTTAAATGGGATACACAGTTTTTTTTTATATTTTTCTTTTCTTATTTTGTAGTAAAAAATGCTTTTTCCGTTTTTCTAGGTTTCCTTTAGTAAAGAAAACGCTTCTGAATTGGATGAAAATTTTCTTTTAAATCTTCAAAGAGATGTAAAATTGAATTTTTACCAACATACTTGTTTACATTTAAGCTCTCCGGATTTGTAAAATATTATGGTTTACATTTGAACTTGTTGTTAGTACGCAGAATATCTTTCTTTAAACGAAGAACTTAAAGACGACAGAATCGCTTTTAAATTTGGTATAGAAGATTTAAAAGACGAGTAAGTAGTTTATCAACTATTCCATTTCTGTTAAAAATTTATTTATTTTAAAGATTACGTTCAGTCTTAACAAAAATATGTTTTTTCGTTCGATTTTAAATTTATGTAAGCCAACTTTTTAGTTATTTTTTTTACATCTTTATCTTTGAGTTAAAATAGAATAGTAGGATAATTAAACTTTTTTTAATATTGATAATATCACAAAAAAAATTTAAGTTGGCAGCTTTTAAGGTATCCGTCATTATATTTAAAATTTATATATATTTTACCTTTAAAAAAATTTTAACTACTTAATATTTTGGAAAAAATACTTATTATAATGAAAAAGTATAGGAGAAGTAGAAACTAAGCTTCAGCGCATAAGATTACAATCAAAAGCTACAGACAAGTCTCTAAGAGAACTACAAACTCGAGTTACTTTTGATATTTATTCTAATTTTCTTTTATTTTGTATTAACTAAGATGCTATTAATAGTTAGGTCAGTGTTAAGTATTATTCCCTTAAATCTCTTTAAATGATTTTAAAAAATTTTATATATTTGTTCATATACTAAAGTATATCTTAATCCTTGGAAAACTTATTTATAAAAAGTTAATATAAATTTTTTACTATTTAAAAGTTAAAAATTAAGTTTAAAACTTTAGTGAAGTAGTAAATATTAAAAAAAATATTAAAAAAATTATATAAAATTTTAACTATAAAGAAATTATGTATTGACGTTTATTTATTTTAATAGCTGCTAATTCTAAATTCTGAAAATGAACTTCTTCTTCACGAAATTGCTAGTGAGTTAGATAAAGAAAAAAGTAACCGCGAAAGTAAAACAACTTGTTTACCCTTAGCTTTGCCTTAAAAATTTTTTTAAATCACTTTACTTATAAAGTTTTTTAACGAAAATTAGTTTAAAACTAACAAAGATTTATAAAATTATAGTTTAGAAAGTTTTACTTTAATAATATAAATATAAAAGCGATACATATACAAATTTAAATATTTAAAATATCAGCTATATTATACTGGACTTAATATCCATAAAATTTACAACTACCTCTATATATTTCTAATATTATAAAAAAAAGTTTTAAAAATTTAATAATTTAAGTACATTACCTATTAAATTAAAAAAGTTGTGTTATAAAGCACGTTTGATTAAATAGCGAATATCGAAAAGTATCGACACACTAGATTATTAAAACAAACAGTTTTAAAAGGTAACAGTAGCAGTGCATTATTTTTTTTTAAAAAAATTGTAAAGGAAAGGAGAACAAAGTTTATACAAGTACGCTATGTTAAGTCTTTACAGCCCGCTCATGTTTGGCCTTGTTGGAGTCAAGCTGTATTAGCTAGAAAAGTTGTGAAGGATATTAACCAATCAGAGAAAATTCTCTGCCGTCCTAAAAGCTCCCCTCCTGCACCTAACCCCTTACCAGCTACCAAGATATCCTAATTTATTACTCCTTCGTAGGGATGTTTTTTAATAAAAAAAAACATTTTTTTTACTAATTTAATATAAAAAGTAAAACAAGTTATAAAGCTTTCATTTAATTTTTTTAAGATTCTATAAAGGAGCTGCAATTACTTCTAAAGGACAATGAAAAAGAAATTGAGTTCCAAGAAAACACAATTATTAAGTTGAAATCGGAAATTGACGCCGTTAAAAAAGTGTATTTTCATTTTATACATAAATCAAAAAACCGCTTTGTTATTTTACTTTTTTCATTTTTTTATTATAACAAGGAGAAAATAGCGCATAAGCAAAACATTATCAAAAATCAAGAGCGGGAGCTTCAAAGTTCTTTATTTAATTTATAAGTTTATGGATATACTAATCACTTTTAATTGTAGTTACTTTTTAAAAAAATTTATTTAAGAATCTTGCGTGATTTTTTTTGTACTAAAATATATACATGCTTTATAAAATAAATTTTTATAGAAATGGAACTTATTTATGGAGCTTAAACTTTTTTTATATAAAATTTATAAAAGTTTTTTTATTAGTAATCTCTTTCCTTTTCTAATAAAACTTTCACTCTCTATCACAACACGTTATACTTTCCAAAGCTTATATTTTACTTCTTTACTTAAGTAAAACTATTTAGAAAATATTGATTTACTACAGATAATTTTTACAATAATTATTTAAAACGTTTTTTTTAATAAAAGTTTCAGTTAACTTTTTTTAACAGCACGCCTCGATGAATTAACCCGTTTAGTGGAACAGTTTTCTTCTGAAGCCAATGAAAAAGAAACTTTGAGGATAAACCTTATAAAAAAGGTAACAGTCTACTGTATAGATCTATTAAACTACATTGAAACTACCATCTTAGCATTTCTACTTACACTCAATATAATTTATTTTTGTAAGTCGCGCTAATATGTTTATTACTGAAAAAAGAACAGTAAAATTTACTTTACTTTTTAAGTATATCAAAGCTTTGCTTAGTGACTAATAAAATTAATTTTTATAAAATCAAGTGGGAAAATTATTATCATATCCTTATTTTAAGCTTTTAAGAGAAAGTAAAAACTAAATTAAACAAAATAAAATAATTCATTTCACAATTTGCTCATTTGCAGAAAACTTCTCTTTACTAACAGGGACTACAAAAAGGTCGCTAAGTGAATATAACTGATACTTCTATAGCTAAAGTAATTTTATAAGAAATCTTTAGTCACAATAGTCCCCGTAAAATTATATAACAATTTTTATAAAATTCAGAATTATACAATTAAAAAAATTATAACAAGTAAATAAGCTAACACCATAATTAGTTATTAAAAATAAAATTTATAAAAAAGTTCCACCAACGAAAGGTTTTGAGCAATAAAAATTTTAGTAGGCAGTCACTACTGCTTAACTAAAGCATCTTTTAATAATTTAGCGTGCGACTGAAGACTTTTTTTTTCTAATTTCGTGGTCATCTATACGTTTTATGAGATCTTCTCTCTAAATTTTTTTGTAACAAATATTAAGAATTTCAATTTTGCGACGTTCGAATTACAAAATAGAGTTAACATTTTTTTCAATTTTTATTGGTAGAGAGCATTAACAGGGCAGTAGGAAGACGCTCTGAACGAGCTATATATTAGTATTATATATAAAAAATAAATAGTTTAGTATATAACTAAAGAGCATCTCGGCCGTATCAAAGTATATTATTTTGAAATAATAACCAAAAAAAAAGTTATAAAAATCTCCTACGTAACGTAATTACATTAACGTGCGTTATTTATATTTACTATACAACTATAAACAATATAAACTAAAGTTGAAGCTAGACAAAAAGTTATTAATGTTAATAGTAGAAAAATTCTGTTACCTTTTTTTTCTTGAAGCATACTTTTCACAGAAGCAACAACTGGAAGATACTATATTTTCACTTCAAAGAGAAATTCTAGCGAAGGTCTCGCTTTACATATATATATATTTAGCTATTTCTTCACCGAACTTTGGTAAAGACTTTATTATTTTTCCTAAGAAATGCATTAATTTTTATTTTTTTAATTTTTCATAATCTTTACAATCTATGATGCCCTTTATAAGGATTTTTTTTTTTTTCTAAAAGTTATGTTTATATGCTGCCTTAATTTCCTCTGATGTTTCGTTAACTTTTTGTTTTTAATAATTAAAATTTTTAATCACATTATACAAAAATTTAGTAATAAATATAAACATTTTTGCTTTGGTTGCCTGCTGTCATTGTTTTAGTTTTATTAAATTTAATATCTTGGTTACCTTTTAGTTAACCATCACTGTTTCCTCTTAATTTAATACTAAAATTTCTAATATAATTTGTAAATGCCTCCCTTTAATTATTTATTTTAGTTGTTCACGCTCGTTTTACAAATAATTTACTTAAAAGTCTAAAAAGTTTATTTTATTTTTAGATCATTAAAAAGAATTTTGTCTCTTAAATAAATTTATTATACTTTTTTTTACGTTTTAGAGAAACTTTCGAATACCTTTATTATAAAGGCCACCTTCTAATAAAATTTATACAAATATGTAATATACAAAAAAATAAAATTTATAACTTTAACAAAATTTAATTTACTTTTTTCAGTACTTTATAAAATCCGCGAGGAATATATATTATAACTGTTTTAAATATAAAATGTTTTTAATTATTTTTGCGAAAGTACGTAATAACTTTTGAATTTTGATATCATACGTGATATTTACTCTAAATTTAAAAATTTTTATGGATTGCTTTTTAATAAATTTTAATAAATTTAAAAATTTAGTTATTAATAAACTTAGCTTCTTGTTATGTTGATTTTAAATTTTCTAGACAATGATTCTTAATCTTCATAGAAGCGAACGGTGGACGATGTAGAAATCAAACTAGCAGATCAGAAATATATACTGGAAAAAAAAAAAGATGAGGTATATATAATCTGGCAATATTTCATTGTATGTATAAAATAATTTAAATTTTTTTATTTTATTTTTTTTTAATTTTACGGGTTAGTCAAATAATTAAATGTTTCAAACATAATCTTTATATATATATTTTATATTATCATTAAACTATAATATTGTATTGAAAAAGTCATTTTATCAAATTTTTTCGTAACATGTATAAATATTCAATTGTTTTTGGTTTTGTTAAATATCAAATTTATCTTTATATAAATTTTTTATAAATTTATATTAGTTTAAGTTGAAAATGCTGACAGCAAATACTTTTTAAATTTTATATTTTATATATTTTTTATTATTTAATGATTTTTAAATTTAATTTTCAAATTTACGTATTGAAAAGTTATCCGAATACTAGTAATTTTTGCTTCTGTTTTATTTAAATCAATATCCGTTTCAATTATACTTGTACAAAACATGATGTCGACGTTTTTATTTATGACTTTAAGCATTTATTTTTAGCTTTTTTATAATCTTCAGTATTTAAGAAAATTTGAATTATTAATTTTTATAATTTCTTTTTTTTCTTAAAAATAAATTAAAACTTATATAAAGTTAATTTTATATATATCTAAATGTTATTTTCGTGTACTATAAATTCACTTTTTTAAAAGTTTGATATTTTTTATGTAAACCTTTTTTTATTTTCTATTAATTTTTAGTTATAAACTTTTAACTTTGCTTTATTATAAAGTAATTTTTGAGAATTTGATTTTTCTGAATTTTAAATTTAATTTTTATCAGACTACTTTTATTAGATCTTCTAAATATTTTAATTTTTTATATTAACCAGCTGAAAAAAGTCTTTGCAGAAAATGAACGCTTAAAAGATTATAAATAATGGAAGCAGTTTATAAAAATTTAAAAAAAAAATTACATTTGGGGGATCCAATTTTTTTTAAAACTTTTATTATATAGAAATATATTGCGTGATAATTGTGATTCCAAACTTTTTCATTTAAAAACTTTTCATTTCTGTATAAATAAATTATATCTAAATATTACTATTGCTATATTTTTTCTGAACTATAATTTTTAATTTATATTTTTTATAGTTTATAAATCTTGTTTATATTTAGAATTCGGTAATTTTAAGATTTTATTAAAAATATCATTATTTATAAATTCTTTATCTTTTTTTTAACAAGTTATTAATTTTGGACAATTTTAAATCACTTTTATATATAATAAGTTGTATTCTAAATATTTTTTTAGATCAGCTCGCCTTTTATTGTGATAATATATTTCTGTCTTTTTAGATTAGTTGACAGAAGGATTCTAGAATCTTTCGTTTTATATAATTTAGAATTTTCTCTCAAAAATTTACGGCAGGAGAATTCTCGAATTTTTTAAAACTATATAATTTCCAAAATAGCTTAAACTAATTTAATTTTTTATTATTCAATTTTAATTTTTATTTAAAAAAGTTATCAAAAAAGTATTCCTGGAGAAGTCGTGTTTCTAAGCTGTAAATTTCTTTAAAATTTTATTTATATATGAATTTACGTGGCGCTTGAGAAACGGGCATGTTGCGGTTTTGTTTAAGATCAATATTAATCAAGAAATTTTAATTTTTCTCTTGCATAAATGGGACATTTAAACTCTGTATCTCCGAATGATTCAAATTGTTTTATAACAATAAAAATGGGTTTATTATTTTATTTAAAAAATTTATTCAAACAATTTCTCTGGTGGATGCAAGATCCGTTTTTAAAAATTCAAAATAACCAGAAATTTCTTATTAAAAATATTAAGACTTAACTAGTAATGAGGGATAGCTTAGTAGATTTTTTTTTAGATTGTTACTTTCACTTATTTATTATTGCCGCCTTTTTAAAATTTTTTATTACCTGACAAATCAATTTACGTATGCCCGAATTAGGGACTTTTAGTGGGGCTCGGCAATGAAATTTATATATAATAATAAATAGTTTTCCATAATATGAATTTCGGTGCAACGAACCAAAAGTAGAAATAATAAAAAGTGCATGAAAAAAGAGGAATAATTTTTTTATCAGTTTTATAAGAGATAGTGTGCAAGATTAAAAGGCTCTTCTCTGATATAGATAAACTTCGTTGCAATGGAATACTATTTATAATTTATATAATTTATATTCGATAGTATAACTAAGTTTTTGATATATATAGACTACTTTTGTTTTAATTTTAGTTTGTAACTTTAATATGGTGCGTATTCCCCTTTATATTGGAGTATCAAGTTAACGTTTACTTTTGTAAATTTTGCTAGAATTAACACATGCAACGGGAGTGCAGAGTTTCTCTCTATAAGTTGTCTACGTGCTCTCCTGCATTTTTTCTTGGCTTTTTTTCCCTTTTTTTTTTAAAAAAACGTTGGTGTTACCAACACTTTTCAACATAAACGCATATTTTTTGAAACTAATGAAACGCTGTATATTATAGTAATAATAATGTTGCTGCTACAAAGTTTTTACATATTATAAAATTTATATTATACTTATATAAAAATAAGTGATAAGCTCGTCACGAATGCGAAAGTACCTTACATCAAAGTATATTTTTTTTAAGGCAGCTTAATTGCCGACGTACAAAAAAAATGCAATTTTTAAAGGACAGCACATCCATGAAGTGGCATAACGACAAGACTTTCTCAATATGAAGCATTACCAGTTATAATTTTTTTAACCTTATTGCCCGTGTATCTGAGGTCTGCGTATTCAGCTTCACATGCAGATTTTTTAAATTTTGCTTTTTGTCCAGCAAATGCGTCACGTGGAAAACCTAGTGCACGCAAATTACCATGTGTAGTTCATTATTTATGTACTTTACAAGCGAATTGCGCGCCCAGCTTCTTTTGTCTTTGTCTTTAGGTGCAGTTGCAAATAGTTTGATAAACTTGCTACCTCTTTTTATGTAAACTATATTTCTATATGGCTGCAGTCAATTTGAGAATCTATGCGAGAGGGGGTCTAACTAACATATATTAATAATTGAGTGCCAATGAATGAGATTGCCATTAATGGATATTATATACCCCAATGTAGACCGCATATCAGTTGTTAGCCCATAAAAAATTGGAGTAGCATTCAGTTAAATTTTATATGTTCTGCTATTTAATAGTCCAGTTAAATAAGAGAGCTGTAGGTTACTAGACTGGTATAAAATAGTCTCAAACTTTCTTTGCCATTTTCGTATGAACTGTTGTTGTTCAGGAATCTGCTAAAAAGTGTAGTAGCTTGGGAGGTGCCTGGCTTAGTGTCACTTAGGTTGTGTAAAGTACCCATTATACTATAGTATTGTTCATTAAAATTTTTGCCTCGTTTTCAAGTCAGATATTAAAGCCAACTCTCCATTTAGTTCTAGTAGTTCATAGTTATCATATCATCTTTGTCAGATAGGGCAATCCCTGGTGTTTTACTTACAAGCTTCTCAGACTTTTTATGTGATACTTCTGCATTATTTTTAGGCTTGGTTTTTCATTTCCAGGTCAGACATATATCTTAATTATGGTTTAAAAAAAATACCCTTTCTCTTATTTGTATGAAGGATTTCTTGCAAGAGGAATAAGTTCCATATTTTTTGTTTTAAAAAATTATATAACACGCCTTCTCATAAGGCTTGAAAAGATAGCGGTGTTTTCACCTCATTTTGCTTTTATGCCAACTTTCTCTTTAATTTTTTCTTCCTCTACATCAATTTTCTCAAAATAAAGAACCGTATAAAAGAAGTATTTTAAAAATCAAGGATCCTTTTGTTGGCCAGTTTGAGTCTATACTTTTACAAAAGGTTGTTGAAATACCCTTCCATATATGTAAATAAAATTAATTACCATATAAAATTTTACTCTGTTTAGTTTGTACCCAATTAATAAGGAATGTCAAATTAAATTTTTTGTTGAAATTTAATTTCTCTGTATTTTTATTGGTTGCTTCTCGGGTTCATGATTAGATTAACATTGTGTTTTTGTACCCAGTGTATTAAGTTGTAACTTAAATATCGTGTATAGTAAGTTATTGTGTTACTTTACGATAGCTTTCCTAATGAAGGTGCAAGCTTTAATCCATGCGTCCTAAGCTATTGGCTTTTTTTCGTTAAACTCTGGGACGTATGAACCTTCATGAACTTCTCTATATAAGCAATTATGAATCTGAATTTTTCGGTCTAACACTGTTATTACGCCTTTACCACTATTTAGCTGTGATAATAAACCGCATCCGTTCTCTTTGAGGGCGCAATGAATCGTTAAGGAAGTTGTGGTTTTCGCGCCCACAATTAGGAAAGGGGTAGTAGATTAAGTAGCAAATGATAGTTAATCACGTCTGTAGTAAGCCAGTGCTATATGTTAATAAATTTTCTGGTTAGCGGAATTTTCAAGACTTCTCATCTTTTACTTACCTTTAAACACTTTTTTCTTAGGTATTTATAAAGTTCAATTGATCCTTTACTAATGAACTAGTGACTATCTTCAATGTTATAAACATTACAAACCATTACTAAATATGCCTAATCAACAAAAGAAAAACATTACCTTCGAATAAATCACTACAAAAAATAGTTATATTTATTACTAATGAATTTAAAAAAAATTGCTGGAATGTTAACTAAGTTACTAATTAAGTCATATGCTAACTACAATCTCACAACTATAATATCTAGCTTTTAATCGGCAGAGCACTAAACCCTTAATCTGCTTTAAATAAAGCCTTTAAAATCTTTAGTACAACTAAATAACAAACTGTTTACTTAATGATTTTCGAAGACTACTAGATTTTATTACTAACTTTATGTAAGCGCCCTATAACGATTTAGGTTTTCTACTTTTGATCCTCTAGACTAAAACTATCTTAAAATAATTGGTTGATCCTCTCGACGAACTTCAAGCTATAAAGAACTCGCACTTTCTTTATCTAATTTTTCTTGGGAGCAAGTAATTCTTTTTCCATTAAAGGTTTCCTTGGTAAATTCTGGAGTCGACCTCACTAGGGGATAAAAGTTTAGTAATATTTTGGTTTTGGTTACCAAGTAGAGGGAAAGATTCAGAGAAAAATAGTTTTTATTTCAATTAGAAAATTTACTTCTTCGAAGATACCTCCCTCAAATTATTTTAAGTCAAAGCAGAGTTCTGGGGTAAATAAAAACTCCCTAAAGCCGGTATCTCTACATTTTTAAATTAGCTAATTCTTTTTTCAAAGGGATTAAATGCGCTTAGAAACCTATTAACACAGCTAAATAAACCCCTTTCTTCTCGCCGCAGTAAGAATGCGTGCGTAGAGTAAGCAGGTCATCTAAAATTAGATTTAAAAATATATAGTTGTTCCTCAGGCAATTTCTCATTTCGCTTACGCACCCCCCCCCCCTGCAATGTTTGTTATTCAATCTTTTTCTATTTAACTTTTCATACAATTATCCATTTTTCTTATTTTTCTATATAATTAAAGTTTGTACCCACTACATCGGCTTCTACCAAAGACGTGTGTCTTTAAAATAAGTTATTCTCCACAAATTTTCCAGCTTAGAAAAAACTACCAATTGATAACCTTGTGCATCTTTAAAGCGGACTTACAAAATTTATATAAAAAGCAAGGTGCAAACTTATAGATCTCATTTATATAGTAAAAAAAAAATTCTCATCCGCTGTCTAAATATTTTACATTAAATTATGCGCTGTTATTTCTAGTAGCCTTTCTATAAATACACTAGTATTTATTTCAAGCTATTAATAATATAAAAAACTAAAATTCTTAATAAATTTATTTTGTAAAGATTAATAATGCATAAGGGTGCCTCTTAAAAAATTGGAATAAAGGAAGGCGAGGCTAACAAGCTCATTCCATTAAAGAACGAGATGCAGTTATAAAGCCAGAAAGCAATGGAAATTTCTCCTAAAAAGGTATTTCAAAGATTAGTATGATAAACAGAGTTATATATATATAGACAAAAATGTATAAATTAGAAAGCAAAATTGGTTGAAAAAAATTTTAATAACTTTTTAAAAAAAAAAATTAATTTAAAAATTATGAGTTTTCAGACTACTTTCAAATAGCAGATACCTTTTTTACAACCAGGAAAGGCAAAAACATGAGGAAAGGGGTACATCAAATCTTTGGGAATTTCAAAAATAGGGATAGTATAGTAATAATAAATCAGGAAAAGGTAAACGGCACGCTATTATCATATACAGTAGAATACAAAAGATAAAAATCAACTAAAAACTAAAGCTTACATATAGTATGTTGTGCGTTAATACTAACTTGGAAATGAGAGCAGACTGCGCTTTCGAGTGCAACTTAACTTTAAAAATATGTAACAAAAAAAAAAGAACAGTTTTTGTTTAAAAAAAACAAAGTAGAAAATAATTAAAACGTACTTAGATCCTTTTCAGAAACTAGTAAACTATTTAGCTTACGATTTTTCTTAGCGTAAGCTACAAAGGCATCTTGAGGACTTATGCTATTAATTTCCTTACGAAGTGTTGAAATTTCTTTTTGAATATCTATTAACTGACCGGTCTTTTTGAGTAGTAAGCCCGATTTACCTTTTAGTAGCTGCAGAGATTATAGTGGAAGAGTTAAATATTATATAAAAATACAAAACCGCGTAAAAATATGAACTTTTTGAGTAATTTTAAATAGGAATTCCCAAAAGAAAATAAAAGCTAGGAGCAGCCAAGGAAGCAACATATAATCACACAGAAGGAAAGTAACTTATACTCTGCCCCTTATTTTAAGCATATAACGGTGAAAAACTTTAACGCTTCAAACCTTAACCTCTTATAGGTTACTGGTTACCATGTTTACCACTTATCGCCTAGGCTCAATTTGCAAGATAGGTCTACGGAAATAAACCCTAAAAGACAAGCTCGACCCCTGAAACAATCTCTGGTGAATTTGAGTACCATGATCTAACGGATTAGGCAACAATCAACAAAATATAAAAAAGTGGTAAATTTAGTTACCAGTGAACGTTAAGTTGGGCATGTGTTGCGCGATCTTTTTATTGGACAAAAAAAGTGTTCATTCTGGATTTAAGTTTATTTATGGTTAGATAGGTAAGTAAACATTTGTTTTACTTTTTATTGTAAATTATTAATTGGGATATATGGAATCAAATTTTTGAAAACAAATTGGACTTTAAAGTATAGTTTCAACACAGGAAGCCATTTCGCAAAAAAAAAAAAATCTAGCCCCGGAGTTTTGCTCGTTAAAGGATTAAATACTCCTACAAGATACAAGACCAAAGTTCTTCCAGATTATGACGATCGGTGTGAAAGGCCTTATAAAAATGTAGGGGCCAGCGCTCGTAAATTCATTTGCCTTTGAACTTGAGCTCTTCTTTTTTTTCTGACAAAATTTTTCTGTCAATAACTATAAGTTATTATGTTCATGAAAAATTAAAATAGTGTATACAATGGTAATATGTTGACCGTCTTTATTAACTAATAACTATATAAGCATATATTTTGGTAACTAGTTGTTTAAAACGTATAATTCCTAAACCGACTTAATTTGTTGGAAAATATAACTAAAAGGTTGTTAACCCAATCAAAACATATTCACGTTACACCGCTGAAGCGGTTACATTTATGGAACTGGATTAAACACAGGTGCATGGTATTAATACAACTGGTAAAGGATTGTCATTTTTTGGAAATAGCTTATTTTGTACAAGAGCTAGTTTTTAAGTTATAGGGGACCCACTTTATTGCGCTGCACCGGTTTACTATCTACTAATCAATTGACTAAGTGGACTCTATTTCTTTTTAATTTGGTCTTTTAAATATCTTTACCCCCAACTATATAGGAAAACTAGATCAAAGCGAGTACACAACTACTTTAAACAATCGAACGGGAAGAGTTACACTGTTTTACAGAAACACTATTAGATAGACTATAAAAATTGGTCTATACTTAATCGAACACCTATTAGAGATAAAAATTACCCACCAACGACGAATCTGAACTTGATGATGGAAGGAATACTGTGTAGAATACAATTACCTTTATAGCACACTTCAAAGTTTAAATAATTGAGGGTAACTATTTAACTATTTATTGTTAATTAGGTACCTTTTAAATTAACTGCATTAATATATAGGGTATATATTTTATAATTCTAATAAAACATGCGTGGTCGGAAAAAAGATGAGAAGCGAAGACGTAGTCATATTTATTAAGAGACATATAAAGCACTCTTTAAATTTACCAAAATTTAATAGTCTAGAGAGGCTGTCGGGGTATCCATCACAAAAAAAAATTAGTTCAGTAAATATAAATTCTGTAATAAGTCGCCGGAAAAGAAATAATGAAGTAGTCTTAGATAAATTATTTAACAATACTAGTCCTGTTTTTGTTTTTGAGGGATCTAAACAGCAAACATTCTACATGGAGCAGCAGTATGGAAAATCGAAATGATCCAAAAAATGGGAAGATTCTAGAACATTGGGCAGAAAATACTGCAGTTTTTGTTTTAGCCCCCTTTGAACCACTCATCGCTCAAGTAGAGTTTCCATTAATGTGTTGGGCTTAGCTTTAGTATTAAAGAACATTTCGGTGCCTGTGCATATTATCAACCTTTATGAATCATCAGATCATGACCCTGTTTTATTGCTAATTGGAGATTTAAGTCGGGGCAACACAGAGGAGCCTAGAGGTAACTAATTAAAAATCAAACACAGTGGTAATTAACTTACCACACTATTCGATTCCTTCCTGTTCGTCTGGAAATAATGCTTCTCTCTCTTCTATTGAGAACACTATAAATTACTTGGTGAGCTCATCAACAACGCATAAATTTGTAAATAACTTTAAATACTTTCTCTCTGAGGAACTCATCAATAATTGTAGACGATAAAAAAGAATATTAATGGAGAGAGGAGCCCCAAGTGACAAGTTAGACTTTGCAACACACTTCGTGAGGTTAAACGCAAAATGAATGCTTTTTATAACAATCTCATGTGATATGAAGCTACGATCTCTAAATATCATTATTAATATAATGAAAAATGACTTTGTCATTTTAACTCACAGAAGAATGATTGATATATCATGTTTAATAATTGAGAACTTGCTTATTCTAATAAGGAAAAGGCCAACACATTTGCAGGAAGTTTATCTTCACGGTGTAAGCCCTACACTATCTTTAGTAATAAGTGAACACTTCATGCATACTCGAATACTATCTTATTTCCGCAAAGGGACATCACCTCTTGATTCACAAGTGTTCATAAATAAAAAGGAGGTTAAAACTAAAATGGATAAAATGAATTATAAAAACAAGTCGGGGCTCTGATGGTACATCAGATTGAATGCTAAAAAATCTTCCTCCAGTGGCTATTGTTGACATTTTAAAACTATTCAACTCTATTTTTTATCAAGGTTACTTTCCTACAAGATGGAAACAACCAAAAGTTATTCTTAAACCTAGAAGTAACCATATTACAGCTATGCTAAATACTATTAGCCAATTAGTTTACTACTCCTTGTTGGCAAAATAACTGAACCTTTTAATACTCTCCAGTATACAAATATTCTCAAAGCCTAACCACCCCCCCCCCCCCCCCCCCCCGTCTTCACGCGCACACGCCAATTTGGCTTTCGAGTAGGACACTCTACATCATAACAAATTTTAGGGAATTGTGGAGAACAATACAGAGGCCTTTAATTTTAAGCAAACAATAGTTATGGTATTCTTAGGTATTGTAAAAGCTTTTGATAAAGTCTGGCATGAAGGAGGTATTTATAGACTAGATATATACTGTTTGCCAATATATACCTTATGCGCGTGCTGAATTCATTTATTTGCAAAAGATCATTTGTTGAACGACTAGAAGTCTGTATTATATCCTTTTATATGCAAAAGAAGCCATTTGAATTTTAAAAATAACTTCTCGTATATAAAGCTATTATCCGACCTATTATTAGTTACCGCATCTGTGTTTCATGGCCTTACTGCTCTACCTTGCATATGAACAGGCCATCTAATTCTTCAAAACAATCTCCTTAAAATATTTACAGGCGCTCCTTGGTTTGTGCGCAATTCCCGATTGTATAATAAATATGAAATTAAACCTTTTTTGTTTTGCCTTAAACGGAGGGTTATATATTGTTTAACTCGATATGAAGAATACCTCAATAACATAATAACCAACCCCATGAGCTGTAACCCCGCACACTTTTCAAAATATGAACGCCCTAATCATTTTTTGGATGTATCTTAGAAGTGCGAGTATTGTAACGGCTTTAGAACATTAATCATATGATAATAATATTTTAAATTTTGAGGGAGGGGGAGGAAAATGTTAAGCGCTTAACTTACAAAGAAATCGCTGTTTTTATATTATCAGAGATGGTTCGAGAGGCCTTAATTTTGTAAAGGAGGTCACCCTCCTTAATTCAGTTGTAGCAGATAACGACCGTGATATGTCAAAATGATAATTAAATAAAAAACATGAGTGACTCATCCATTTTTTCCTCCACTCTGCCTTTTTTCTGCGTTTTTTACCGCGCCTTTGTAGTTTTAGATTACGTTCATCTAGAACTAGCGATATTGTAAAGGTATTCGTTTTAGTCTATAGAGCTAAAACGAAGACTAAACGTTTAAAGGGCGTTTTGGTCGAAGTTAATAAGTAGCTTAGGGTCTGGAGGACAACTAAGTAAATAATACTTAGTTAACTAGTTTTAACTTTATTTTTACAAACATCGCGATTCCGACCAGGGGGCTACAACTTGGCCATGCGAGTTACAGGTAACATTAGAATATAATACTTAACATTTGCCCCTTTGAAAAATAAAAAATGCGTATTATGTGTCTCTATTAAACTTAAAATGAAGAAAATACACAAGCACGATGAAGCCCACAAACAAAGAGATTCGGGTAAACTACTATAGGTAAACATTAGGCAACCAATATGCAGCTCTTAGGAAATCTTTATTAAATTCACCAAGATCAAAGAGCAAATAAGCATCAAATAAACGGATTATCCACTGCACACAATAGGACCATCATGGATGTCTTCACAACAGGCAAATAACAGAACTTACCCAAGAGATCAAGGTGGGGGACGGCACAGAGTTCGTTAGCAATACTACTAGGGCCGTCATTAATGTATGATTAAAGAACTAAGTATTTTACCTCTAGGTGACACGATAAGTTGTATTTTTAAACAAGCAGTAATGATAATGAAATGAAGTAGTGACATATGCAGCCTTTTTAACAAATAGACTTTTGTAGCAGATTTTACCAGCAATTTAAATTTTTTTTAAGGGCAGGCCTTTCATCCAAAATAAATATTACTCGATAGAGTCTAAGATTTTAAAGTAGACTCCCAACCAAATTAAAGTTCTAAACTGAAGGAATCGAATTACAAAAGTGTAATGTCATTGTACACTCGCTTCCAAGATGGTTGTAATTTAACAAACCTATTTCTCGGAAACGCTAGCACGGGCACCTCTATCGAAGGAAACAGGGGAGCAGGAGTAATAATAGGTGCTGTGTCGCAAGCCAAAAGTTAGCTAACAAATCTAATAGAAGAGTTTATGCTTTTTAGAAGATCCAAGGAACCATTTAACAGTCAGTGGATTTTATGTAACTACCTACGACTAAAACATACTCTGATAGCGCTATTATAGGAATAGATATTCACGGCCTGTATGGGCAGAACAATTAAAGCTATCTACTTGCGAGGCACTAGAGTAGAAAAATCTCCTGCAAGATGCAGAAGCCGGTGGATATCATGAGATGAGAGACAAATTTTTTATCAGCCCTAAAAAGATAAGTTTTGCTAAAAAGAACTATAAATGACTATCACGTAGTTACCCTTAATCGGCAACTAGGTAACGGTATTAAAAATTTTAAGGTCAAGACTAAATGTGCAACCAACAACGATCAAAGAGAGTCGCGTAGGTGGAGGTTAGTATGCACCATAACTCCAACTAGCTGACTAGAACCAATTAACTGTTTAAGAACTTAAGGTATAATTGGATACTCTAAGTTCACAAGTATTAGAAGGAAAGCAGAATTTGTATGTGAAGATGAAGAAGTATACGATAACGATGTCAAGAAGGTAGAAAGACTTGTTGCAGGGGGGGGATAGATTAACCTAAAAAAAACAATAAACCTTTCATTGGAAACTGACTAGGAGCAGCTACAACTGAAAAAGCTCTTATAAATACGGGGACATGTACTATAATTTGAAGTAAAGGGTTAATTAAAGTCGCAGAGATCAAATAAAAAGTAGGTCTAGGAGGAATTTTAAAGCAAAAATGTAAAATAAAAATAACTAGTAAATAAGAGATATATGTAAACGAACTACTCCGTAAACCGATTTTAAGCGGTGGGAAAGGAAAATATGTAAGCATTGGTTAAGCAGAGTATCCGCCATACAAGACACTAAAGCTCAAACAGTCTAATATACTCGAAGTTTATAAATTTTTAAATGATATCTAAGACAAAGGGACAAGGGATGACTGTATCTACGAAAACAAAACACTAAAAAGCTAAAATAATTATGATTCCCGCACGACGAAATTTTTTTTTATTAATTTTTTGTGGTTCTTGTATTGTTTGGTTTGTGCTTCCTAGGCATCTTTGAACGTATTAAATAATTTATTACCGTGCCCTAAGTTTTTGGTAACTCTATATTATTATACCTTAGAACCTATAAAAAATATATTAGTTTCCGGGTCTTTTTATTAGCAAAATCAAACAAAATGGGGAAGCTTAATTGTTAGGGGCTGGTTTTTTAGTAAAGATTCCATTTGCATTTTTGTTATAACCGTTTTAGCCCTAAATACAAGTTTTTGTGTTGTTTTAATCGTGTTTCTACTTGCATATCTGAAAAGACAATTTTCTGTGTAGCTGAGATTTTTTTTAAAGATTTTATCTCAAATTTTTTTTAAAGTACCATTCGCGAAATACTATAAAAATATTTGTCTATAATAACATTGTACATGTTAATAAATACTGTTATTTATAATTATCAGGAAACTTTAAAGAGTTGGGCCAAGTATAGTTTAAAGGTAGGTTATATATTGAATTCTGTTTTGGTGCTGTGGCGGAGTTATTAAATATTTACTGAAAAATTTATATTTTTTATCATACAAAATTTTAATAATTAAATTTTTTCAAATTTCTTACTTTTTTGCATCACTCTATTATTTGTTAGTCACTTTGCAATTTAAAGAAAGAGTAACGAAATGAAGAGGAAATTTACTACAAATTTAATTTTACATTATTTAGGTGAGAAAAAGGGTGAGTTTAGGGTTCAACATACCCGTTCTTTAACGTACGAACTTTACTTTTTCTTCGCAAATTGCAAGGCAACCCAACCTAATAATTCTAATATGAACCAACTTACGCCTTTCTCTCCGTGTATCTTAATTTGTCCAACAAACTTGATCTAGTCTTGCGTGTTTGAGGTATAATTTTACTTGACCGCACGCAGAGTTACTTTAGTGTACCACTTCTTTTTCCTTTTTTCCGTTAATAGTAGCTCCGTAATTGCTTTAGAAAGGTTTATTATTACGAAGCAGTGTTCGTATTTATCGATTATTATATATCGTGCCCAATATTGTAAATTGTATTACAAAAGTAGTGAACTGAACAACCGGTAAAAAACTATTTATAATTCAAAAGAACCATCGAAAAATTATTTACTAGAACATTATACTTGTGGGTCTTCATTTCAAATGTGTTTAAATAATTTTTAAAAGTTTATTTAAAAATATATGTATTGTGATATACGCTTATAAACGTGTATTTAATAATAAATGTGTTGTGATATACGCTTATAAGTAATTTCAGCTTCGCCTAAAGTCAAGTATAACGTTTAATACTAATCCAGACTTTTCAAAAAAAAGGCAGAGCGTAGTGAATTGTATTTATGAACACTTAACAGAAGTTTAAGGTTTCATACAATGCAGTAGATACAACTGTTAAAACTTTTCTATACAAAGATAATGCCATTCAAACCTACACTAAAAGTATTTTTTTAATTCAAAAAATCTCAAGGTTGACAAGCCTTTCTTTTTTTTTTTTTTTCGATTTACGCAATAAGAAAAGAAGTAATAGGAAAGCTTGAGTCACTGAGATTTTAATTTTTCTAAACAAATCCTAGTTAGTATACTATTATTACATGAAAATTTGATAGGTGGACCGTATAAGCTATTATTCAATCCTTTTTTAAACTCCATTTTTAAAGGGAATTTTAAGTATTACTAGTCAAAAATTGCTCCTAGAGTGTAAACTAAATAAAGCAAAACACTTCATTTAAAAATAAAGCTCAAGTAAAGCAGATCATATATTTTTACAAATTTTTAGTATAAATTAAAAGCCATCTACGAGAAAAAAGTAAACAAAGCTTTATTTATGCTTATACAAAACTTTACATAAAAGTAAGTAATATTTCTGCTCTAAGTATACATCTACATATTTGATGAAAAAAGTACACTGTTTCAATATTTTATAATAAACTTACACTCTATCTCAAAATTCGAATGGCGCATACAGCGAGAAAATATCCCGGAAATACTATCTACTAGTAAAAAAATACATCCATTAACACCAATTTTAAGATTATATGGTGCTCCGTTAAACTTGCAAAAAAAAAGAGAAAGAAATTTTTTTAGCTGTGCTATTTCAAAAAAAATTAATAGAAATACAAAAAGTCAAACTTACTTTCTTAACCAATAGGATTTACTCAAATGTTAAAAGAGGACATAAAAAAATATTAATAGTATATAACGAAAAAATTATACTTATAATCTTTTTTTGAAATAAAGAAAAAGTCTCGAATAATAACCATGCTTAAACCTTTAGATTCTTTATAACAGTGCAGCCTGATTGTACTTCCCAGTTAATGCCAGCACACTGGAGGTTAGGAGGCAATGTCAGCACGAGGGAACTAAACAACTATTTTAAGTCATGAGCTAAAACGTTTATCGTATACCCTTAAGGAGGCCTTTTCGTGACTTGTGTGTTCTAATTATTGCTTTGTTATTTTTTTTAACAGAAACCTAATTTAAAGTATAGATAAAACCTACCTATTGAACCTTAAAAAAAATGCAACAAGGTAGTATACTTGCAGTAGAAGGAGAGAGGGAAAGCGGAGATGCAGTTCGAAAAAATAATAGTAACCCTCTTAATCTTTTTTTATTATTATTATTTTTTTAACATGTATTTTTTAATTTTAGTAACAGCTGTAATGTCCATTGCTAATACTGTTAAAACATCTTTGGGGCCTGAAGGCTTGGATAAAATGCTAGTTGACGAACTAGGCGTAGGCAACTCTTTAGACATTAATTTGTTAAAAGCTTTTAATATAATAAAGTAGGACGTAACCATAACTAATGACGGAGCAACGATACTTAAACTTCTTGAGGTTGAGCATCCAGCTGCCAAAGTTTTGGTAGAATTAGCTGAGTTGCAAGATCAAGAAATAGGAGATGGAACAACTTCTGTAGTTATTCTTGCTGCTGAGCTTTTGAAAAATGCAAGTGAGCTCGTTAAATGTAAGGTAATCTTAAAAGTTATTACTTTTTTTTAACTTGTTAGGGCTGTTTCTTTTTGATTTAGATTCACCCGACCACCATAATAAGTGGCTACCGATTAGCTTGTCAAGAAGCCTGTAAGTACATTAATGAACACTTATCTTTACCAGTAGAAGAGCTCGGTCGTGAATGCTTGGTAAATGCTGCTGTTACTAGTATGCACTCTAAGGTTATCCGTCTCTTGTGCTTTTTTTCTTCCGTAGAATACCTTTTTGTAGATTATTGCTGATGATGCCTTGTTTTTTGCTGACATGGCCGTTGAGGCTGTTCTCTCTGTGAAACGCACGAACTCTAAAGATCAAGTGAAATACCCCGTCTCGGCTATAAATGTTCTAAAGTCTCACGGTAAACGTGCTAAAGATTCTCTGCTTGTCAAGGGCTATGCTCTTAACTGCACGATTGCCTCGGAAGGTTCATTCTCGCTAACTTTAGCCTTCTTAAAACATAAAGATTTCCATAGCTATGCCTCACGTTGTTAAGGATGCTAAGATTGCTTGTATCGATTTCAATCTTCAAAAACAAAAAATGGCGTTTGGTGTTCAGGTGCTTGTCAATGAGCCCGAGGAATTAGAAAAGATTCGCCAAAGGTAATAAATTAGAAGTTATTAAATAATCTTAGGCGCAAGCTTTGATATAATATTTTTTTTTCAGGGAAATCGAAATGACTACCGAAAAGCTTAAATTGATTGTCAGTAGCGGAGCCAACGTCTTACTGACCACGAAGGGCATTGATGATTTGTACTTGAAGTATCTGAACAAAGAGGGGATCATGGCGGTAAGGCGATGTACTAAAGAAGATCTTAAAAGGATTGCTCGAATTACTGGAGGTTATTTTTTTTGGTAGCGCCTGCTGGAATGTTAGTAACACCCATTTTCAAGCTGAGCTACTGAGCTCGCTCGCTGATTTGGACGGAAACGAAAAGTTTGACGCTCATATGCTTGGCCATGCAGAGGAAGTAGCGCAGGCACGTGGACGCTTCCGATACTACTCTTCTCTTTAGATCTTACTTTCCCTTGCAGGAGTGGGTGGGCGACAACCAGCTGATCCTAATCAAAGGCTCAAAGGCTCACCCCTCCTCTTCAATTATTTTGCGTGGGGCCAACGACTTTATGTGCGGTAGAGCATTTTTTTATTTATATCAGAATCCATCGTTTATAATTCGTAATTGTGCGTAGATGAAATGGAACGATCTGTGCATGATGCACTCTGTGTTGTTAAAAGAGTTTTGGAAAGTGGAATGATCTCTCCTGGTGGTGGCGCCGTCGAAGCTGGTGTTTCAGTTTACTTGGAGAAGTTGGCTAGTCGCCTGGTTGTTATTTTTATTGCGCTCGAGCGCACGTGTAACTAAAAGCGGGTTATAATTTGTTAGGAGTCGCGTAACCAGTTGGCCGTTGCGGAATTTGCTCGTTCTCTTACTGTAATACCCAAAACGCTAGCCGTCAACGCTGCGAAAGACGCTATTGATCTTCTGGCCAAACTTCGCGCATTTCATCATCTCTCTCAAACCGATAACTCTAAGCTGCACTTGAAGTGGACTGGCCTTGACCTTGCCGCCGGCGTTACACGCGACAATGTGGAAGCCGGTGTGCTGGAGCCTACCATAGGCAAAGTTAAATGCTTCAAGTTTGCAACGGAGGCGGCAATATCCATATTAAGGATTGACGAGCATGTAAGATTACAACCGGAAAACAAAAAAGATCCTCACAGCTATCAGGAGGCCTATAGGACGGGTCAACTCGGTTAGTGCACAACCAATTTGACTTTTCCCGTAATAAATGCCACCTTACGGACTTTTTTTTATTTGATGTGGTTACTACCATTTTTCGTTGGTGGTTAACTTTATTAAGATTTATATTAGTGGTACTTTCTACTTTAGGTAGCTAGAGATTAAAGGTTTACTATATTTTTTGGCAAATCTGTGTTTCGTAAGCTTTTTACATTATTTTGAAGTCTTCCTGATTCTTCTGTTTGCTATTCATATTTGTGTTAAATACTTGCTCTTCCGGGAGAGAATCTAATTCATGTAAGCAGCAAACTAGAATTTTGTTTAAGTATCGCTCACCTTATGCCTTTAGGTTTTAGTATTTTGAAGAAGGTTTTATAGAGCTCTTTTTCTGCCCTCAAGGATACCTTTGTATTTATGAGAAATTTTCTGTATTATTTATAGTAGTATTTTATATAGTCTTATATTAAGTTATTAACCATATTGTGATAAGTACCTTGAGTTTAATATTTTACATAACTAGAAAAGTTCTAACTCACCCTAACAAATAGACTTGATTTATTGCAAAGTCGAGGTAATTACGTTTGTTTCCCTCTTACTCATACTTTACCTATTGACTGGGAAGTTGTTTAAAGCGTCTCAAACTATTACTTTAGGCTTTGTAGCTTTGTTGGATCCTTCATTATATTCTGCTGTGACACAACCGATGGGAGTTATTAAAGTTATTAGGTGCTACAAAATTATTGAAAAATAACCCTATAATTTTTTAGGTAGCTTATTCGATGCATCCTTCTTCTACTTAATAAGCTTTTGACATAGACCTTAAATTCTACTTAAGACACACTGGGCAATGATAGAGTTTTAAAAGTTTGAATTCCTTTTGGCTTAATCTTATGAGTTTGGTTTTTAACTTAAACAGAGTTAAAAGTTAAGCTCCGGAAAAGAGAAAAGAAACAAAGTTATCAGTAATAAGTAAACAGATTAAATGTAAGTTATTTTTTTGACATTAAACGGTATAAAAAAGTTGAGGGAAATAATAGGACTTAGGAAGTGTTGCAGTATGGTAAATAATAAAATAATAACTTTTACAGTTTGGAGTTTTTAGCAAAGGGGAGGTGTTCTATTTACTTAATATTTTAAAGCAATAATGGGCACCTTCCCTCTTGAAACTACTAAAAAATAATTCCAAAGATAAAAATTGTCTTCAAAAGCTCCATTTAGATAAGATATGCTGTCTGTGGAGTTTAAGATACCTACTTTCTCGCATTTTTTAACTAGTGTTAACATGAACACTCAAATATAAAGAATTTTGAATACCGTTAGATGAAAAATATACTGGTGGCGGGAGCCAGCCGACTGAAGAGCTACAGGAAGCCTAGTAAAACGAGTTGTTACAGTGTTTAATAAAGAGAACGAAAAGTAAAGGAAAAGTTAACAGTTCTTGATATTATTTTTATCAGTCCATGGGAAATAGCCGCCACTGCTATTTTCTGGAAGGCGTAAAACGAAGGTCTGGAGGGAGCTGTAGTAAAAAGATATCGGGCCCGCGACTTCCGCTTTTTGGTCTAAGTGGATGGAAAACAGTTTGTAACAACTACCAGGATAAGTTGACTTTGAGTCCTACGTCCACCCGGCCAGCTTTACAGTTAACCTGGTCTCATCTGTTTTTGTTTTAAGCTGTTCAAGGTGTTGACAAATTTTAAATACTTTGTGCTCTCTAATAGTGATTGCACGTTCATATCTAGAATTTTATAGGAGCTTGCCGGATACACGGAACGCAACGAAAGTTTGCTCTTGGCGCAAAAAAGGGTAGACAATATTTGAGTCACCACCTTGAATCGTTATTACAAATTGTAAATATCTCGAATAAGCGGCCGTTGAAAATTATTGGCAATGGTGGTGCAGCGTGCTTCGTGGATAAGAAATGATTTGCTCTATGTGACGTAAATCGTAATTTTACGCCACAAGCGGAAATATATGAGACGATGCTGGCACAGTAAAAGAGGTAACTATAACGATGGGAAATCCTCGAACTACTTGTGTTTAAGGCTATCCGCCGGTGGGGATTGTCGAGCTGTGACACATCGTGCACATAGAGTGCGAAAAACCCTTTTCCGACTCCTTATCCCGGCTGCCTTCATAATGGGAATAGTTGGTAGATATCAAGGATGTTGGATGGGCCGTTTGACCAAAAAGCTTCGCTTACATTGTCTCTATCTAGTCGGTACTGGCGGTCTGCTAAAAGGATGCCAAAGCTAAATAAAACGCTAGTGTTAGCTTATTACAGAAAAATCGACTATTTGATATTGGAGTCTTTAAACCTTTATGCATTTTATATTTAGCTAACTATTGAATAATATCGATATATGGTATGAGACCAAAGCAAAAGCGCAAATTAAAAGTGAAGGAGACTACTCTATATACTCAACGCCTAAAAATCACTGAGAACTAAGCTTAATTTTCGTTATATAACACGACCAATCACTAAACCAAATATATACAAGTTTTGTCATATTACAACAATTTGTAAACACAGCAAGCACACCTGCCAAACAACCAAAGACAGAATTAAATTTTTTTTTAAAAAAGATCAATGCTGACAAAAAACGTATAGACAGATCATAATAAAAACGATTTACAACCCAGAAACTCATGATGAGTTATAAAGAAAGTACGTGACCCGAAACTCGCAAAATATATTTTTTCGCACCGTTAGAAGGTTAACTCTGTCGCCCTCGCAATAGAGTTAACTTCTCTAAGCCGGCGACTGGAAAAGTAATTCGTGGTTAAAGCCAACTAGTAACCAGGAAATTAGCTAAAAAAATAGCCAAAAAATTAATTTTGTTACAAATAATTTTTTATTATTTAGGCGCAAATTAAAGTAGCAAAATTTTATTAAACTAAATTTGATGAATTTAAATTTACAACTATGAAATATTTTTTAACCTTTCGTAGAGGTAGTGGCGCAGTGGCTATGACAAAATAAAAACGAGTATGGACGCGAAAGGCCGGCGGTCAGTGCGTGCGTTTCCTTTTATATTCGTCGTAAAACCAACGTTAAACTTAATACTTTCTACTGTTCGTCGTATAAGCTGGCAAGCGAATAAATGAAGAAAGTTAAAAAAGTAAAATACGAAGTGGTTCTGAAAGTATCTGATTTACAGAACCTTCCTTCTTTATCAGGGTTGTTTTTCGCAAAAATAAAGGTTAAGGGAGGAGAAACTATAGGGACTACTTTATGGTAAATACAACAAATATAGTAGTAAATATTTTTATTTGACCTTAATCTCCTTTTGTCTGGATTATAAAGTTATGTTTTTAGATTATATTGTTAAAATTATTAAAGGATTTTATGCTTCTATAATATAAAGTCAAGAAATTGAAAATTTTGCAGTGGTATGGAATGAAACTTTTTCTTTTAAGACCACGCTAAGTTATAACTCCTCCGAAAAGAAAATTTTTCCTTGTATTTGTAAAATAACAGTATATAAAGTTCGTACTTTATAAATTCACTTTTACAAAGCTGCTTATCCATGTTTAACAACTTAGGGAAAAAGAAGAGGGGACTACTTTGATAAGTTTAGTTTTCTAGAATTTAATTTAACCGATTTTGCCGATAAGGGGCCTGTTCAGCACAACTGTATCCTGGAAAGTGCTAAGAGTAGTAAAAATCGTGCGACGAACTCCATCCTTCGAGTTTATTTTTACTTTTTGTTTATAGAAATAAATAATTTCTTTCCTCAAAATAATATACTTTTAATAAATATTATAAACCCGTTATTATGATATATAGCTCTTCGTGACCATGACATACTTTGGCGCCGATCCTATTTCTAAACCGTAAGCTTTTATATATATTATTCTCGGTAGAGTTTTACTATCTTTTAACTTATAGCTTGTAAGTCTTATATAATTTTTAAAGAAATATTTGGGACCTGCAGCCAAATGAGCGCAAGGAATACTTCGTACTTATATTATAAACCCTTAAGCTATTTGAAGCGTTTTAAGAGAAGTTTGAATTGCTTAAATTTGAGAGCCTCTGGAGACAGAAGACCGCACTTCAAGGAGTTATGGTACCAATATCTATACATAAAATATTCTCATCTTCCGCCTCATTCTAGGGTATTCTTAATTTTTCTCTTTTCACTTCAAGAAATTTTTTAATTTTTACTCCTTTAAATAACTTTACTAGTTTGCTTTTTTTTTTTTTTAAATTAGATTCAATTCCTTATAAAAACCGTATTTATTTTGTCTCTACTCTTGTAGGTGCTGAAAATCTTATCTCCTCGCAAGTATTCCAAACTTTTAACGACGAAAGATGGGTAACTGTTTCTTCTCAACTTAAGGCATATTTACATTCTCGTCCTCTTTATAGCGGCGTGATCGCTCTGACTTGACGCGAAGCCATATTACTCAGTCAAGAGTAGATTCTGAACAAGTAGTACAAAGTATTCTGAATCAAGCTTTTGCAGATTCTTCTTTTTCGGACGAGCTTCGTTCAATAAATAAAGGCTAAAGATTACTGGCGCTTTAGATTTCCCCTTTATACGTGGGAATTACTTATATTAAAGAGTTTACTTTGACTGAACGCTTTTGGTAACCATTGACTCGTGAGTTTGGACTTGCTGTACTTAAAGGTCATGAGCTTTTATTGGCCATAAATATAGGTTGTCCGTGCAAAAACTTGTTTGGGTCATTTAGTAATCCTTTAACACTTCCTTAAAAAAGTGAGAGGAGTAACACCCAACCTTTTTGCGCTTTGCATAAAATCTAAGCATAAGTTTCATGGGCTTCTTAATGTGAAGTACTCTGCTTATAAAAACCCAAAAAAGCCTACTCTGAAGTTCTTTCTGTGAGAGGGCTCCTCTACAAAAATTACATATATAAAAAATTTCCTATGAGGATTCGCAACTTGGAAAGTGAGCTTAAAATTTGTAAATGCTTATTTTGATAACTACGAAAATTTCGTTATTTAATTGTTCACTACGACATTTACCGTTAATGTCTTTAATTATAAAAGTTTTACCGCCTTTAGAAATAGTTAAAGTCTAGCTGCCTCCTAACTTTAAATTAAAGTTGTTCGTAATATTTTGAGTTACAACCGTGGCAATTAACGTGCTTTACTCAGAGCAATAATGAAAATAAACACTATATATAGGGTCCAGCGTTTTTATTACAAAATAGGTAAAGACTTAAGATTTGACTTTCGCTAGTTTTAGAATTAAGTTATTTTGACTGAACAGATTATAATATATAAAAATGCATCTCTAGAAAAAAGTATCAAGTGGCAGGTTAACCTATAATCGATAAAATATAAAGTACAAACGTTATAAAATCGCTGGCATACCCCACTAATATTTTGTAAAAATCTCTGAAGCTTTTAACTCTTTTTATGTGCAATAACAAATATTAAAGCTTCTTAATTGTTTTAAACCTTTGTTATATTGTTTGAAAGCTTTATATTATTTGTTACTATCTAGGAGCCTTCAAAAACATACAAAATCTCTGTTTCTTTTATATTTTATGTAAGTCTTCAACTCAATCAAAATAAAAGTACTTTATGAACATAAGTTCCTGCCCACCTTCCGTATAATTTCCTACAAAAACTAATTCTACAGCTAATGAGTCTTTTCCAACATTGCCTATTCAGTATACAATTGTAGATGTTCGATAACTAAGGAAAAAAGCAAATTTTTTTATGTGCACTAATTTAAAGAAATCCACAAAAAGGTTATTCCTAAAAAAAGTTGACTTATCAGCGTATTCATACCTCCATAAACAATTTTATGTTTTAATATAGTACAACAATTCTCACAAGTAGAAGATCGTATAATAGAGTAAAATTTGAAGTAGTAAGTTTAAGAAAAAATAATCTCCAATAAATTAAACGACAGGTGCAGCTAATTTAACCACATATAGGTTATTGGTTACTATGTTTACCACTTGTCGCTTAGGTTCAGTTTGCAAGAATAGGTCTACGGAAATTATCCCAAACGAGAGGCTCGATCTCTGAAACAAGCTCTGGTAAGTTTGAGTAACATATTCTAACGGATAGGGCAGTAAACAACTAAACATAAAAAAGTGGTAAATTTAGTTACCAGTGAACTTAAAACAAATCTATTTTAAGCTGCAGAGTTTGATCGTTATAGGTTAAATAACGCATTAGGTTTCATCCGTTGTAATTCTTTACCCTGTAGATTATGGAACTGTTACCCCTCTACCAGAGGAACTTAAGTACCATAATGTTACAAATATTAATAATGAAAGCGCAAAAACTGCCTCATTTGCCAATATACAAAATTTTAATTAAAATGGAACCAACGATAACCGCTAGATAAGCAAGCCATATTTCTGACTAAATTAGTTAATTTGTACTTATAACAATTTTTTACAATAGACAAACTAAAGTTGCAAAGCACCTAGATGTTGTATACAGGAATGCTTTACCTCCCACAAACTACAGAACTGTGGGTTTGTTAACGCCAAAACGGTAGGTTTGCTTTTTCTCACCTCGGAAGAAAAAGCTTTAGCGACTTATACTTTTTGTCGCAGCTAATTTTCATATTAGCTCAGTGTAACAACCCTGGCAAACTTTACTCGGCTTGATTGGTATTTCTAATTCTGGTTTGAGTGAACTAGCCCAAGAAAAGTAATTCATCTATAAATATAACAATGTGATTTAGTTAAAATAATTTAGCCTTATATTGTTTAAGCATTCCTCAAAGTAAAAACTAAAGGAGCTGCGTTTTTGTGACCATATTTATATGAGTATAATTAGCAAGAGGTGTATAGATTTGCTGTTTAGAGCAAGAAGCTACACTATACTTCTAAATTACTGAAAAAAATGTCTCCAGTATACAGTTGAATAAACGGGGACTTGACTAATTCTCCCTACACTTCTAGCATGGCTCCCAGTAAGAAGTAAAGTATTGCCTTTAATTTTTGTGGACTGCAGTATAAGGACCCCTATTTATTTTACAAAGGGTATACCGATAAAATTGTTATAAATTGTAGGTAATTATATTAAAAAGTAGCATCAAGCTATTCCACAATATAAGTTAAGTTACATTAGAAAAAGCCTTCGTTCAATAAAAGAGTTAATAGGACGCCCCCGTTACAAGAATATAGAGATTTAGCTTGTAATAGAAAGTTAGTTTTATGTGTTTCAGCAAAGTTTTTAATAGTTTCATATTTTTTAATTAATCCCTGGTTGCAAAAGTGTTAATAGGCTTAACTTTATCATTACAGAATCTAATTCAACTATAAATTTTTAGGTGGAAAATTACGCTGTAATGTTTACCTGAAAACAAGGTAAGCACTTTTCAAAGTTTGTTGCACCCAAATAATTGTACTATATAGAACGTAATTAAGAAAGAGGAATTATACGGATGTGTGCAGGGCATAAAACGGTAAGCTTCCTAAACCTACGATTGATCAGCCTTATTTTTAAAAAGACTGTTTTACATCCTTTTGTATCAAACAAAAGCTTCACTCAAGTCGCGTGCTTAAGGGATAGCCCGGGGCACAAAGATAAATTCCTAAAAACCTGTTAAGCTTTTTACAAGCTGACTATTAAGCGTTTATTAATAAATTATTTCGTAATTACTTATCTATTAGATAAACTATGGTTGTAGTCTTAAATATGAGTAGAGACCAATAGTGAATATTAAGATGCTGTGAATAAGGTTGTGCGTTATGCTCATCTAATGGTATCTAGCTCACGCGGAACCCCACGTGAAATCTCTGTCTCGTGAACAATTGTAACCAGCCAAGATATACTAACTTTACCAAAAATTTTCTTATGGCTATCTCATCATCTTTACGAGAATGATAGCGAGGTTTTCCTCTACTTTTAGAAAAAAACTAGAAAATTTTTTCAAGAAGTTTCCTGACAACCCTTCAGCCATAAATTTACTTAGTAAACTGGTACCTATCTAATTTTTTACTGTTCTTAAAGATTTAAAGATTTATAGATATTTGTTAAACAAAAAAATTACTTCTAATGTTAAATTCATTATTTTAGCTTTTAGAGGAAGAGAATGAGCATAATTTATTGTATAATATAAGTGCGGCTTTACTGGATGATAACATCTCAACAGAAGTTATTAAGTAGCGTTTACCACTGTTTAATTTTATTTAGGTTTACAGTTAAATGTTTTTGTAACAGATTTTTTATACCTTTTCTGCCATACTTAATCGATCGCCTTGTATATAATCTTCTTCAACCGACAACCCAATTTAGTTATGCTGCACATGAAAGGGTTGGCTACATTTTTAGTCTACTTTTGTCTATACGCCCTCAATCTCTAAGGTTTATATATAGTTTTTTTTTTATTGTATGTTCTTCAAGTTATTTTCTTCTTTTTTTTACTTTGCAATTTTTTTATGGCAGTACTTTTAGTCAATTATTATTTAGTCTTCTATCATTTTTAACTATGTATCTATTTATAGTTCAGCGTTGAAATATTATTCTCGCCGCCCTCCCCCTTTTGAACGCCTGAGAGTCCACGGCCTCCAAGTTGACGACGTTTCTGCTGCTCCTTTGGTGATCATGTTATTATAACGAAAATATATTATATACTCAACGTCTTTGATTGCATAGGCTGAAACGGGTTATCGTTTTCTCCTGTTCTACCCAGAATTCAAGTATAGATGGGATTGGTCCCCTTATCTGCTTCTTGTATATAAAAAAATCATTAATTTATTGTTAATTTTATTATAATTACTATTATTAGTTAAACCATCTTGACAGCACTACTAAGTTGCACGCGCTTGAGGCCACTGCATTGCTAATTTCATTTTCGGGGCTTCAGCATCATAAGTTACGCCAAGAAATAGCTGACTCCAGGGCTTTGTTTAACTTTGATCTCCGGTATTTTCATGCTTTCACTTTATTTATTTGGAACTCTATTTCAGTTTAGATCATCTTGGCCAAATGAGAAGCATTTTAAATTTTTGTATCGATGCGAAGTTAATTTATGTGAAAGCTCTTATGAAAACAACACTACGAGTTTGTTAAAGAGGTTGACACATGGAACTATGTTTATAGTTATTTTTAGTATATAGAATATTATTTAGTCATCATATATCTCCCGGGCTCGTTGATGTTTGCGGTGTAGTTATGAATTACAACGAAGCCTCTCCTAACGCCCTCGATAGCCAGAAAGATGATTTTGTTAAGACACTCTCAGCTCAGAAGCATTTGAGGCTAATGGCTCTCTCGTTGTCCGCCTCCGTCCCCTTGCTTCTTGAAGGCCCAATGGGGTGCGGGAAAACTTCACTGGTCGCCTCGCTGGCGCGCGCCACCGGAAACTACCCGCAACTTTTAAAAATACATTTGTGTGAGCAAACAGATGTCAAAGCTCTTCTGGGCACGTATGTGTGCACCGATGTTCCTGGTGGGGTCCAGAGCTTTGTACGGTAACGTGTATTGATGCTTTTTTTTAGGACAATTCCGATGGCAACCGGGAGTTCTCACGCAGGCAGTGGTACGTTGGCCTTCTTCACATGGTTTCTTAATGATATATATAAAAATACTAGCTGGCCGGGCAGTGGCTACTTGTTGAGGACATCAGCATGGCCCCCATGGACGTTCTCTCGATACTATCAACTCTCTTGGAAAGACGCGAGTTGCATATATCGGTGCGCACGTTATTATAACCATAAAAGTGCGCGTAGCTATAAGGATAATTTTTAGGAGAGGGGCGAAGTTCTCAAGGCGTCTAATGGCTTTCAACTTTTTGCTACTCAGTCTACTCAGACTGGCCTTAGATTTCAAGTATGGTTTTGTACTGTTCTTGGCTGTATCTTTTGCATTACTTATGAAAAGAAGCTTACTATTATTTTTTTAAAAAAATCCTCATTTACAACTAGCAAGAGACCACTTTTCTGGATAATCTCTGGACTAAAATATATATTCCTCCTATTGTAGGGGAGGAAGTAGCCGAAATTCTAAAGGAAAGGTTTTTATATTTTAGCTTTTTAACTTCAAGTATTCAGCTTCACTGCACTACTAGGCACCCCAAACTGGCCCCCTTCGTCGGAAAACTAATGCTCGTTTATCAAGAATTCTGTTGCTTCACAAAGTCTACGGAGGTCCCTACATATTGCATGTTGATAGAAAAAAATTGTTATTGGTTTTAAAAGAATTCACGGACGTACCATGCGAGGGATTTTTTTAAATGGTGCTCGAGAATCGAACAGTTTGCGCATGACGGAGCTGTAGACACCACTTGGTTCTCTTTTCGTTTTGTATTTAAGCAGTTATTTTCTTACTGTTTATTTCTGGCTCAGCGTCTCTTTCTCCCTCGTGAAGGAGTTCACCTACGTCGAGGCTTTGGACGTCTTTTGCGCTGCCATCCCCGATAGGAGTTACAGAAGACGCATTTCGAATAGACTCGGTATAGTCCTCCCTGCTTCCTCCCATTCCTGTGTTCATAGATAACGTATTAACCGATAGGCGAATTACTAGAGTTGCTTCCGCATCGAATTGAGTATTTTTTGGATATTTATAAACCTCAAGTAGAAGTGTATGGAAAGAATTTTACCTTTGACATCGGCTTATATGTTAGCTTGTAAATTTTTATAGAGAAAACACGCAGATTTTACGGATTGGCTCTGTTGCACTCCCCGCAACTACCTACGAAAATGGTATAAATTTACAACACCCAGAAAAACACGTGCTTAATTTATGAAATCAGGGCTTTCTGTTTTTACGTTTACCAGACTATCCAGTTGTTATTTGGAGTCCCTATTAAAGTGTATTACTCGGAAAGAGCCGGTCTTATTAGTGGTAACTGAAGAGTTGCCATTGTAATGGAGGCTGCGGTATTTCTTCCCTCTTCTTCAGGGAGAAACTGGTACTGGAAAAACAACGCTTGTACAAAAACTTGCTCTCCTGCATGGCGTTAAACTCACGGTTATTAATATGAGTCAGCAGTCGGACATTTCCGACCTTCTCGGAGGATATAAACCTGTATTGGACTATTCTTCTATAAAGCAATCTGTAAGCAAACCATTTTATCCGGTTTTAGGTTGATGTGCGAAAGCTAGCATGCCCTCTCACGGAAGAGTTTCAGGATTTGTTTAACCAAACATTCTCTCAAAAAACAAACACTAGATTTATTCAGGAGGTGTAGAATTCTAAATAATATATTTATGTTTTTTGTTATTTTGTTGCGTGAAGGTACGGAGAGCTTATAACAAAAGTAACTGGAAGAGATTAATACTTTTGTTTCAATCTGCTCAAGCCAAAGTCGAGGAAAAAATAGAAGTAATGAGTGTGTTATACTTCCCGTTGCCTGCTGGTGGTAGTGTGCTTTACAGAACGTGGAACAGCAAAAGTTACGTCCGGAGCTACGCCAAAGATGGCGCTTCTTCTTTAGGTAAAGTTGCATCGTGGAGATCATTGGTATTGTTTGTTATTAAACTGTCAAATTTTAAAGAAATCTGGGACGATTTGCCAAACAAAGAGCACAGGTCGAGAATGGCGTGGTCTTTGACTTTGTCGAAGGCGCATTGGTCGAAGCCCTTCGGGTACTTTTTGCGATTCTGTATATAAAGTAAGCTATACATCACTACATTCCACATAAGTGTGGAGGTTGGGTCCTCTTGGATGAACTGAACTTGGCCTCCTCTGCGGTTTTGGGTTTGTGGATTTAACTATACCACTGGATTGGACGGTACTGACATTTTATATATTAGAGTGTTTGAACGGATTGCTTGAGAACGATGATGGATCGTTAATATTAACCGAACGCGGAGACACACAACCGCTTAACCGACACCCAGCTTTTCGGTGATTTCTCTTGCACGTTATTCGCTGTAGTATGGCGGCAAAGTAACGGTGGATGCACCATTTTTTAGTATATTTGGATGCATGAATCCGGCCACCGACGTCGGCAAAAGAGAGATCCCACCCGCCATTCGCGGCCGCATGACCGAGTTTTATATTGAAGAACCCCACCATTGTGACGACTTAAAAATGTTGATTCGGGAATATCTAAGTGCCGTTTTTAGCCCACCAGATCATGTGGTTCGTGGGATATTTCGATTGACCAACAAATTCTTTTATACTTTTTTTATGATCATGGAAGGTAAGTGACATAGCGGAGTTCTACAGGAAAGCCCATCAGCAGGCCTCGGAGTTTCTCTGCGGTGGCGACCATCGAAAGGTTTTTGGCATTCATAGTTTATGTACGCATTTTCTTTCATATAAGAGCCCTTGTAGCCGCACTACAGCCTGCGAACTCTGTGCCGAGCCTTGGATACCACCCGACACATGACCCCCCACTGCGGTTTTGTCAGAGCCTTATATGAAGGTCCTCATTTGGTTTATTAAAGGGAATGTTGGATTGCTGAAAATTTGTACTTTTTTATAAAAAGGAATGTGTGTGTCATTTCTGACACAGTTGGACACCAAATCCTACGCGACGATGCAGCGCCATATTGCTAAACATTTTGCCAAGAAGCTCAAGCCCGGCCAACTTAACGCAGCCTATCCTCGTCCGGGGAACAATTATGGTTTATTTTTAATGAACATAGAAAAAGCACAGCGCAAACCTCTTTCTGTTTAGAACTAGTTGAACATTTTTGGCTCAAACTGGGCCCTGAACGGGTTTTGTCACACGAAGAGTGCAAGTATATACTAACGGCTTCTGTCCGGGAAAATTTGCGCCGACTGTCCAGAGTTCTGATCGCTCGACAAGTAACTCCACAATATTAATAATGAATTGTTTGCACCACTCTGCGCAGTACCCCATCCTGCTGCAGGGGCCCACCTCGAGCGGGAAGACGAGCATGGTCGAGTACATTGCTAAGCGCACTGGCCATAAGTTTGTTCGAATTAACAATCACGAGCATACCGATCTTCAGGAGTATATGGGTCCCTCTTTCTTGCTATAGTCTCCCTTTTGCCTTTTTTTTACTGCTGTATTATATTAGGGTCTTACATTACGGATCCTACGGGAAGATTGGTTTTTCAGGAGGGGCTTCTCGTGCAGGCTCTTCGCCATGTTGTGTTGCAGCTTGACTAATTTTATGGCAGTTGCTAATGAGACCTGCCTATAGGGCCACTGGATTGTCCTCGATGAGCTTAATCTGGCACCAACTGATGTTCTTGAGGCCTTAAATCGATTATTGGACGATAACAGAGAGCTGTATACCTTTTATACTTAATATTAGTCTCTTCTAATTCCTTTTTAAAAAGTTTTCTACCGGAAACGCAAGAAGTTTTAAAGGCGCATCCGGACTTTCAGTTGTTTGCCACTCAGAATCCACCTGGCATTTACGGCGGGAGAAAGGTTGTGGCAATTGTGATAAGTCTGTTGACTGTTAGTAACGGTGTGGTCAAGTTACTTTCCCGCGCCTTTCGAAATCGCTTTGTTGAGTTGCACTTTGATGCTATCCCCGAAGAGGAACTGGCAACGATCCTTGAGAAGAGGTCCCCCCCCCCGGCCCGTCTTAAAACGCGTATCGCACCAACACTGATGGATTGTGCTTCAGATGCGCCATTCCCCCGTCCTACTGCGCCAAAATCATCAGCGTTGTCACGCATTTGCAGAAAGTTCGTCAGGGGACCCGTCTGTTCTCTGGTCATTATAATTATTGCACACATGATGCATGCGACATACTTCTCGCTTGTTATATAAAGGCAAGCACGGATTTGTTACACTGAGGGACTTGTTTCGGTGGTGCGAAAGAGAGTGCGATAGCCTTCAGTCATTAGCTATTAATGGGTCCTTCGTCCATTCTGCTAAGAACGAGAAACTGGGCTCACTAACCATCTTGCGCGCTAGTTACATGCTTTTAGCTGAAAAAGTAAGAAGAGCAGAAGAAAAGTCGCTTGTGGTCGAACTTTTACAGAAGCACATCAATGTTAAACTTGACGCGGAGGTGGAAAATTTTGCTGCTATGTTCATATATACTTATACACCTGGATTGTGACAGACTCTGTATGAAGATGCTATTGGCGACGTCGGTTTGCTGTTGAAAGAAAAAGGTCGGCTTTTCTAATTATGCAGTGAATTTTAGTAAATTATTATAATCCAGAAACATTAAATCCTCTTCCGCCATTGTTTGGGTCGATTGTTTGGACTCGAGCAATGAAGCGGCTCTTCGTTCTTTCCGAGCGAAGCTTTCGCTACTGTCAGCCTCTTCTGCTTGTGGGCGAAACTGGTGTTTTTTTTTACAATAGTGCTTACTATAAAGCTTTATATGTTATTTAAATTTTAATGAAGGCTTTGGCAAGACGCTCGTATGCCAACTTATTTCCTTCTTGCGCGGGCAAAAATTGCATGTGGTCAACTGCCACCAGCACACGGAAACTTCGGACTTCATTGGAAGTCTTCGCCCGCTTCGTTCTGAGGGGGACATTGAAGCCGTTAATGAGACAGAAAAAGCAGCTTCATTGGCGTTTACTTGGTGCGACGGGCCACTTGTGCAAGCGATGAAGAACGGTTAAGAGAAGCGCAGTTAGTACTACTTGTCTATACTAATGAAGCGCTGTAGGGGACGTGTTACTTCTCGACGAGATATCCCTTGCGGACGATTCTGTTATTGAGCGACTGAACAGTGTGCTGGAAAAACAGCGAACATTGACTCTGGCAGAGAAGAGGTGTGCGGTTTTTATCATGATATCGACGGTGCTTAGGATGTCTTCGCAGCTCAAAGGAGACTGAAGTGATTCGAGCGCACGCGGACTTTCGCATAGTGGCGACGATGAATCCCGGCGGTGATTTCGGCAAGAAGGAGTTATCGGCAGCCCTTAGAAATCGCTTTGGTCGCTCTTTTATATACTATATTTTATAGAATTATACATCATTTTGTGTTGTGGTGTAGTTGAAGTTTGGGTTCCTGCCGTTACCGATACAGACGATCTTCTGAAGATCAGTGAACATATGCTTTCTTTCGAGGAATTATGCCCTTTAGCCGGTTTCTCATTAGAGCCCCGTTTTACTCTCTGCATTGTATAACATAATTGGTGAAGAACTCATGTTGCGATTCGTGGAATGGTTTCGCAGAACCGAATGCCCAAAATTGGTCATCAGTCTACGGGATATTGTCTCGTGGACTTCTTTTATGAATCAACGATTTGCTCTAGGCGTCTCCCCCGCCCAGTGCTACATTCATGGTCTGTTATATATGCTAGAATGTTACTTCCCTTCACCATTTCTTTCCATGCGAGTGGCTATGTACTTTTGAAAAGCATTAGGTAAAGCTAACTTTTGTTATGTCGTAGGCGCCTCACTAGTCATCTTGGACGCTGTTGGGACTCAGGCTGTACCCGTCAGTGATACGGGTGCCGCTAAGAAAAGGGCGATCAAGTTTCTTCAGAACCAATTAAAGACACTTTCTATCGACTTCGTTGACGCCACTGAATCGGAGGCCGCAGTGTTTCAGTACTCTTCTTCGGGTAGCACACTTCCCCTACTGCACCATACTTGCCTCTTATTTAGATTGCCATGCAGATAATAACGAAGTTTTCTGCGTCTCTGGTTATTCCATTCCTTGTGGCCCTTTAAAAAGAGACGGAGATCAGTCATTTTTTTTTGAGACTCCCACTACTGCTCTAAATGCATTGAGAGTCGCAAGGGGTATGGTGCTTTCGAAAGCCCTCTTGCTAGAGGGTAGCCCTGGCGCAGGAAAGACAAGGTCATTAGTCGTTCACGCTTTGCTCTTTATACAAACATTTTACTACTTGTTAGCTTGATCATTTCTCTTGGGAGAGCCACCGGAAACGAAGTTGTCCGGATTAATCTTTCTGAGCAAACTGACATGGTGGACCTGTTCGGTACGGACTTGCCGGATGAAGAATTCGCCGGTACCTTTTCTTGGCGGGACGGTCCCTTACTGGGGGCCATGAGAGCGGGAAAGTGGGTTCTTCTGGACGAGTTAAACTTGGCGTCTCAATCCGTTAGTACAATACATGTCACCATTGAGCCTTGCTAGTTCGCCCTATCCACGTGTTTTCTCGCAACAGGTTTTAGAGGGTCTTAACGCATGTCTCGACCACCGGGGCGAAGTGTACATCCCTGAGCTGAACAAGACGTTCTGTTTGTCGGAGAAGACGAAAATCTTTGCCTGCCAAAATCCGCTCGCGCAGGGCGGACAGCGAAAGGGTCTGCCTCAGTCTTTCTTGAACCGCTTTACTAAAGTACGGAGCTTGCTATAACTTTTGTTGCTGTTAATAACCATCACTTGAAGGTTTATATTGACCGCCTCAATGAAAAAGATATGATGTGTATTCTCGGAAGAAAATATAAAGCTATTTCCGCATGCGAGTTAGAAAAAATGGTGTCTTTCAATTCTCGACTTCAAGAAGAGATTATGGTGCAAAGGTTGTCGTCATGCCCCGTTAGAGGGTTGGTGCTGGTTGGCATTTCTTTGAATATATTTTTTATGCAGGAAGTTTGGGTCAGCTGGTTTTCCGTGGGAGTTCAACTTGAGGGATCTTTTCCGATGGGCGGATCTCATGGTTCACGATCAGGTCTCTTCTTCTGATCGTGACCACTTAAAGAGCCTATGCATCATACGTTCTATAGCCCTCTGGCCTCTACAACTGTGAAAGCCACATCGATACCCTTTATTACCGAAGAATGCGTACAAAAGAGGATAGGGGGGCACTCATAGACTGCTACAAAAATTTATTTTGCGTGGATTTGGTAGCTTGCATTCTTGTTTTTTATGTTTATTGCGTAATATTTTATGAAAGCGAATTGAAGGGCACCCCTACTTACATGTGACACACCAATTCGTTCATTTGGGAGCTGCCCATCTTCCGAGGCTTCCGGGGACTGCTTCTTATGATTGGCGTTACGATCTTAAGCGCCCACTCTTTTGCACCCTGGCTCCTCTGCAGGCTGTGGCCAAGTGTCTTGAAGTTGGCTGGTCAATTTTATTGCTTTTTGTTGGTGAATCAGTGTTTTGATCTGCTTGAAACTTTGCCAGGCTGCCCATATTAGTAGGGCCATCTTGTTCCGGAAAAACCTCTGCGGTTCGCTGGCTTGGTAGGGTTAAATGGGTGCGTTAACGGATAAGTGACGCTTACCATCTGAAAATTTAGCAAGCATTACCGGAAATACCCTGACCCAAATCATAATGAATAGTTCTGTGGATACTATGGAACTTCTGGGCGGCTACGAGCAGGTTGCTTTATGAATGACTTGTCTTTGCCTATTAGTACAACCAATCACTCCATAGATCGACTTCTCAAGGCATTTGAAACTTTTTATAAACGAGTTATCGGCATTGCACAATTATGTTTCAGCGGCGGTACTGTCAAAGGAAGAGAGTTTTTATAGTGAAAGAGGTTCTCTTATTTCTCCTCTTACAGCTTAATTACACTTATCCTTCGCTCCAGTTGAAACAGTTCGACAACTCTTTTCCAATTATGATCGAGCTCGGCGGCTTCTTACAGTCAACTCGTCCGGCAGCGAGTTTAGTGGAGCGGACTGCGTGATGCATTTCTTGGAGGATATCCGCGCACTCAACGTCGACAAGATAGCCTCTACTCGCTCACTCGAACTGCGAGGCAAGTTTCAACGGTTGAGGGACTTGCACGCGGCCAAGATTCAGGGCTGCTTTGAATGGGTGGATGGTCAATTGGTTCAGGCTTTGAAAAATGGTGGCCTTCTATCGCTTTATAGTGCTGTGGGGTTCTTTTTTCAACAGCACACTACCAGGGCACTGGTTTCTGGTCGAGCATGCTAACCTCTGCAGTTCATCGGTTTTAGACCGCCTCAACCCTCTGCTGGAGATTGAAGGACAATTAATCATCAGTGAACGCGGTGTGCTGGACGGTGCTCTGAAGGTTTTTGCGCTGTTTTTGCTCATTGCTTCCCGCTTGCTGACTTGTCGATGCCTCGAATCAGGTCATTGAAAAGCACCCTAACTTTCGAATTATATTCGTTATGGACCCGAAATATGGCGAACTTTCGCGCGCTATGCGAAATCGGGGCGTAGAGGTCTACTTTTTTTTATATATTCCGAAACGAGTCATTATAAGACTGAATAGGTTTACTTTTCGGACCCCTTTCATCCCAGTCACGCGGAAGTGAATACTTGCTTTAGACTTGACTTTCAGAGGCTTCTCTACGATATGGGGATCGTAGATAGCTCCACCCAGTTGGTAACCGCTTTCTCTTTTTCATATCGGGCAGTATGTAAATACAACCCACCAGACTATATTGAAAGTTTACCAAAATCTCTGCCAAATTTCGGAGCTTCCTAAAAATTTGAACCTGGCATCATTCAAGCATCTCCTTCATGCGGCTCAGTTGATTCATGAGCAAGTGCTACGCGGTGTTTCTATTCGCAAAGCTCTGTATACCTCCTTTCATGAGGTCTATAAACGCCTACATGCTGATGGTACCTCAGCGTTATTGTACGTGTTTGCAACAGGTCTATGTGCGTCCTGCTGGTCACCCTACTTATCAAAGCCTTATTGACTCTGTTGTTACATCTTCTCTCAACGCTGGCGTCGGTCGCCTGCTTGTCACTACTTTCACTGTGGCACTCTATTGTTATTTTAATGATGTAGAAGAACAACTTCTAAGTATAAGCAAGGAAGGAGTGTTTCCCAAGCAGCCTACCCCCCTCATGATTATCAAGCAGCCGCTGTTTGCAAAGCTTTTGTGTGACGCGGCTGTTCTTATCAACTCTTTTAATGCAGTTAAAAAGTCGAGTCCACGCTCTCACCTCGGAGAGGTGGCTTATTAGAGTGCGGTTGACGAAGACAAAACTCTGATTAACGATATTGCTAAATAAGGATGTCATCTCCTTGCTGGAACCATTAGAAACTCTCTGGGTCCCGGCCGTTTTGGTTTTGGAGTCTGCAAGCTTTGCTGATCTTAAAGATCGAATGCAGCTAATAAAATATTTAAATTATGAGCTCCTAGTCACTCGTGACTGCCGCGAAGCATTGGTTACTGAGGAAACTGCAGATATTATAATGAGCTCTTCTCATTGGAAGACTGCAATGAAAGAGATGATTGGCTTACGAGAGGCACTTGTTAGTTACTGTTTTATGTAATTGTCTAATTTTTGATTTTGTGTAGATCAGTGGAATTCCTGCGGCTGAATTATCTCTAATTCCTTTTAATATCAGCGTGACACAACCGCTCGAGCGCTGGTTCCACAGAGTTTGTTGCAGGTTTATATAATTTTTAAAGACTTTTAAAATGAGACATTTTTATAAACTTTTTAAAAAACCAAATAGATCGGCCAATCCTCAAAGAGCTATTGCCTCTTGGACAACACTCGTGGCCAATCTAAATGCTATTTGTTTCATTATTTTTTTTGTAGTGAAGGTTGAATTCATAAGGTTCGCATATTGAATATATTATTATTATTGTTTGATAGCTTCGAAAGGAGGAAATTATCTTTTCCCATTCCTCCTTACCGTCCCCCAATGAAACTGGCGGGAGCTTGCTTTCCTCTCTCCATTCTTTGTGGAAGCAGTACAGGATGTATATCCTGGACGCCTTGCTTGCCCCTTTTCCGCCTTGTTGGGAGTTGTCTTTCGGGGCAACTTTGGACGGTAAATATATTGCGCTGGTATTGTTATCGAACGACTTTCTTATCATATTTATAGATCTTCATTTCGAGTTCTCGTGCATCTTCTCTATGTGCCAGTCGCCCAAAAGGACTATGGATGACTTTCAGCCCCTCCTCTCGGTGCACTGGAAATCTTTTATAAAACTTTTGCGCCAACTTTATGCCGTATTCCCGCCCTCTCGTCCCTTTGAGAATATACTGAACCACGTGTGTTTTTCCTTAATTGACTTTGTCTGCTTTTATTATTTTTTCCCCTTTTTCCGAACAGATTTCCCAACTCCTCCACATCGACCACTGTAGTCCATTTTTGATGGCATGGAAAAACTGGCTGCGGTTTCTTATCCGTGTGTTGTTATTACTACTTTAAGTAACACTATTTGACAAGGCCTCAGCCAATGCACTGCGTCAGGCTCTGTAATATATATCACAAATTAATTACTTTGGATGCGCTTTTTGTCGATTGGATAAGTGTATGATATATCCAACAAATTAATTTGCATATTATCTATCTCTTAAGTAAACTTCTTTTGAGTTTTCTGTTCTTTATTTTATCTCATTACCGTTCCAGACTGCTAATGCCGTCCCCGCCTCCCCTCTTCCACCAGCTAGCCAGGCTCCGTTAAAAAAATCCTCTTTTGACTCTACCTCACGTCAACTGCATGAGATGAGGGCGACCGTGGCAGACGCATTGGCAACCATAAACTGTTTGAACCTTTCCCCTATCGGATTTTTTCTCCCCCCGGACGGCATCCGGTCCTTCAGCATCTTCACATACGACTCAAACCCTTCGGAACCGTTTTCCTTTGGTGACACCGATAAACTTTTGGGGGCCCTCGATCGTGTTGGCGTAATAGTTCACGAACGTCTTCCGCTTGTCACTGGAAATAATGTTTATAAAACTTCGGCGCTCCGTTATTTTTGGCCAATGGGCGATCATCACACTCTGAGACACGAATCTTTTTTGGTGCAAGAACTACTTTCTTTGTATGCACGACACTTCTGTTTTCCAGAGGGCCGTGGATGTGTCGATATTGCTGCCCTACGGACGACAAGAGACCGTCTTGAGCACTTTATAAGTTTTATATGTCAGCACTCTTCGCATTCGCCCCAGCGTTACGCTCACTGGATATCGCTGCTCTGGCTTTTTGAGCACATGGATTCCGAAAAAGATACTAACCGCATAGGAAGTTTTGAACCTTGCTTCCGGGCTTTACTAAGTGACATGCTTTTTTACCGTGAATGGAGCACGTGGTATTTTTTCCATGGATTTTTACTATTTCTTTGGCACTTTTTTATCATTTAAAGGAAAAACACTTTTAACGTTTCCCTTTTCGGGCACTCGTCTTCTTTTCGTGAGCGCCGGGAAAGTCTGGTTCACTGCAACCTCGATACTTCTGTGTTAGGCCCTCCGATCATACTACAGCCCCTCCACGTGTACATAGTAAGCCGCTGACCACTTTGCACGGCGTCGTAAGCTTGTTTGTGCTGCCTTGTAGAGTTTGGAGGCTTACAGCGACATGAATGAAGTTCCTCTGAAGAACTATGAAAAGAAGTGCCGCATTCTCGCCCACTTGCGGAAATTATTTAATGATTTTCAGAAGAATCTGTCCAGTGGTTTTTTTAAATATTGGATTCACTTTTTTTGCCCTTTTTTTTACTCGTAACCAATTAGCTTTTGACTACATCATGGGCGAGTGGCGCGTTGTAGCTCTGCAGTTGCTTATATTTTTCCATGCTTTCAAGGAGGGCTTTACCGGAGAGGCTTATACGCAACTTCAAAACTATTTACTCCCTTTTGTATTCCCGTGCCCGAAAAATTCATTACCAAACTTTTCCCGTATTGAAGAACAGCTGGCTTCTATTGCCCAGAAAAGCTGCACATTGCCATGGTTTAACGCCATCCACCGAACGTTGCTCCTACCAATCCTCAAAGCCTTATTCGCGTGGACGCAGAGCAACTATTCTATGGAAGGTTCTGTTTATTTTTGTTTGTGATTGGACTTCACTATTACTAATTTTTATTTAGAACTTGGCAAAGAGCTGGGTAAGGCCAAAGTTTACTTTGCGTTGCTCCAGTTGTTTGCTTTGAAACCATCCACGGACGTTGATCCTGTTAGAGTCTACTTGTGCAAACTTTCCAGCAAGGAAAGGCGTGCCGGAGCGTTGCGCTCGGAGAAGGATTTGCGTAAAAGACAAGAGATGGTGCTTTTTTGTAGTGGTTTTTTTTCTTTTCCTCATAATCTGGCGTTAGGTCCTTCGCGGTGGATCTTGCAATGCAACTATAATCAATTTGGAAAAGAGAGAGAAACTCATTAGTGAGAAGTGCTCAAAGCTAAAGAAAAATGTTTTTGTAAGACCGGAAACGCCTACTTTCCGGTACTATTTTTTTATCTACTTTTTTCGGCTTTGTCAATTTACTTGTGCGAAAGCACTCTCATCAATACTTTGGAGAGTTATTTTTTAACTCTCGGAAGCGCTGAAAGTAATCTTTTGTTACTACACGAACTTCTTGCCCCTCGAATGGGCCATGAGGCTACCGGTTTTTATTTTCTATATTTGTTTTTTACCCGCAACCAACCATTTCGTCAGAACAAAAAGAACTGCTTTGGCAAGACTCGCAAGAACAGTTTGTAAGCCGTTTGGTGGACTTTCACCAGCACGTTGACATCACACGCCCCTTGGCCGTCGCTACTCTGCAGCTGAAAAGTGGCATGAGGCTAGTGAAGTACTTCAGGAAAATTCCGTAATTCTCACTCCTTTTATAATATCTTTGTTTTTCCATTTTTTTTTCTTTTAGCGGTTCGAAAGAACTGAGCGGAGTAATCAAGGCTCTTCTCGCGTTACCATGTGCTTCTCTTATTACTCGTGGGCGAACTTCACCTTCCCATATCGAAAAGTCTTGTGTTTCATCCAAGTTGCGAATCCGATTCTTGAAAGTTTTGTTGTTCAGGGCTTTACACTCTTTTCGGTTTCTCCCATCCTTTATCGTTGCTTTGGTTTTCTTCATTTTTTTACTTGATTATTAAGTTTTTTCTCTGATTCGCTGAGGCTAATCTCGAGTTTTCCCGCCCCCATCGATAATATTTGTCTAAAAGTTATTAATGAAACTTACGAAATCTTTGAATCTCTTTATTGCTTTTGGAAAGAATATGAGAATTTTAAACGTATGAAACGAGCGAACGAACAAGTAGTTTCTTTTTACCTCCTATTATGGGTTCCCCTTACCATACCGTCAAAACTTGGTAGGCTCTGTTTAAACTGAAAAACAAATCTTTTATTCTTGAAAGCGAAGAAGCTCTCGAAATGAAAGAGTTTCATAAGAAGTTTCCGTCTTACCGAAATGTATACTCGGAGTTTCTTTCTGTGCCTACTGAAGACGGTGTGATCTTGTGTGCTGGCTCGCTCACTTTAAAGATGTTACTTCTTTTTTTTTGCTTGTATTTATCAGAAGACGCCGAGTCTCTGCATGACCACGAGGACGTTGAAAAAGAAAGTACGGAATGCGATGCGCTGGTCATCACTGAACGGGACATCGTCTTTATATGCCAAAGCTATTGCCTTTTTTCCACGGCTTTTTATAACAGGTTTTCACTAGCGTATTTGCTTGCTCTTAAGTTTTTTGTGTTATAGTATTAACGCTTCACTCCTGGAAATATCAATTTTTCATTATCATTTATCTTTCGTTAGCTTTTACCTCGGGCGTCACGATGACATCTTTGCCTGTCTAAACTTTGAGGACCTTATTAAGGAAGGTTGTTTTTATTTACTGAACGCTGATGGCTATATTCACTAAATATACTTTGTAGGATGCATGCTGGCGTATCATCTTATTAAAGACTCGTTTTCTTCAGATGTACCCTGCCTCCATGATAAGCAAAGTTTACTGTTTAGAGTATCTTTATTAGTAATACAGTTCCTACTATTATTTGCTGTAGGCGTGTCTCCCGCGTACTCGGTTCACTTAATAATGATCCATAACTATATCAACAGCACAGAAATGACATGTGGGAAACCTTTACTTTTGGAACCACCGCGGTCTTTTTATGAAACTGCCAACCGTACAGAGGCATTGAAGTATTCTCTATTCCCTCATGTTTGCTCTATTCGGAGTATTTATTACGTTTTTCAGACTTCTCCCTATTCTCAAAAAGTTTAAGAAGACCGTCTGCCTACTGCTATCCCAGTGGCCGGATCACCCGTCTTTGTGTCAAATTCTTTCTCTTATTGGACGAATTCTATCTCATAATTTGTCGTCTCCTTTAATGAAAGTTAGTACTTAGTTTTTGTGGCAATAATTTTTATATATGTTGCCTGTACTATACCATATATATGACTATTCGAATAATATTTACTGAGCTTTGTTTAGTTTCTAACGGGATTGGAAATTTTGCTTCAAAAGGCGCATGAGTGGGAAGAATACGCTTCTAAAGATGTTTCTCTGTCGATCCATATAAACGCCATAAGTCAAATAATTCTTCATTGGAGACAACTCGAAATGCACGACTGGCCACTTGCTTTGGACCACAAACTTTTCGGTCACTTGTGTTTCTGTACTTTTCCATTTGTAGAATCCAATGTCATTACTGTCAGAATTTGAAAGAGCGTCGATGAGACTGTTTTTTGATGTTTATGAAGCCGTTCAGCACGTATTCTCTATACTTTGCCCTCCTATTATTCTTTAACGGTTGTGCTTGTTGCTATTAGGGAGTACGTGGTGAAGGCTCCGTCGACCTTTCCGCTGTGTTTTACTGGTTAAATGAGGTATAGAGCGACATCCTTTCTTTATTTTTACTCTCGATACTTTTTATTCTAAACTTGATAGTTCTTGAATACCTCGCCCGTGGGGGGTTACTCCATGCGCCTGGAAATCTTAAGGGGCTTCTACTTTAGCATGAAAGTTAGCGCTCTTTCAGGCTCGCTACCTTTTTCCTCCCAGAAAAAGTTAGCTAAATACTGTTATAATATTTTACGTTTGTTATTCTATTATTTGTACTAGTTTGCACCAGATGATGGATCTCCTTTACAATCTTATAGAACTCCACTCTTCATCTCTACAGAAAATTAAACGCTGGATTGTTTCGCAGCGTGCACCCTTTGAGGAAAAACTAAAAACTATTTGTCAGCTCGCTAAATGGTTATTTAATGCATCCGCCGCTGTTTAATCGTTCTTTATTGGTGTATTTTTGCAGGTACGACGTAAACTATTGGGTAGTGATAGAGTCGGGGCAAAAGACACATAAGCAGTTACACACGTGTACAGTTCAGTTTGGTCGCATTTTGAAGCGACCAGTCTCCGAAGTGAATATTTATTACCTTTTATAGTAGAATAGATATTATAGCCTCCTTTATTATTTTGAGGTACTGAAAGAACTTGTGAGCTGCGAATCATCCGATGAACTTGAGAATGAGCATGGTCGGCGCTGCTGCTGTGAACTGTTTATGTACTGGCTAACTAGTCCTTACTAATATATTAGGCAACGAGAAAAGCATAAGAGAATGTACCTCCGACTTCTCGATGTATAGCTAATTAATATTTTTTGTTGTTATATAATTGTATAAGCGCCCTTAATTAAGTCATCTTTACCTACTTCTCATTTGTAGGTCGGGAAAGTCTGAGGACATCATAGAGCTGACTGCCTTTCTTCCCGACCACCAGGTCTGACTGCCATTTGGCATTCTTTATTTATCTTCATTATTTTTTTGGACCCACAGCTGAGAGTCTCAGATGCTATTTTCGCAAAAGTTCTGTCTTGCCTCGTTCACTTTCGCCAACACGACGAGTCGCTTAAGAAGAAAGCTCACCCTCCATCACTTAAAGAAAAGACTTCTGAGCAGGAGGTTGAATTCGCTTCCTTGTCAAAACAAGCTAAAGTTCATAAGAGAAAAACACTTACGGACCTTTTGCGAATGCTAAGTTTTCTTGGGTATATCTATTTTAATCACTTTGCATTTTGTATTGAGCCAATGGCGTGTAGCTTTTCTTCCCAAAGCGTAGAAGCAAGAAAACAGTCATACGAGTCTGTTGTTTTCTGTTCTTCGCATGACCTGAACGACTCGCTGCTGCTTCTTAGAAGTTGCATCGATGCTCAGAGCGATAGTACCAAGCAACTCTGCTCTTTTCTAGGAAACAATGAGCACCTGCAAGACAGTTTAGCTAAAGGAACCAAGTACTACTACGAGTGTGTGTGCCAAATGTTCGCCACCCGCCAATCTGCGGAAAGTGGCTGCGGGTCAGATTTAAGGGCGGACGAGATCTCCAAGTGTAAAGGTCTCCGATTATTTCCCTTTTTTGCTTTACATATTTGTATTGTGTTAAAGGCTTCTCTGAATTTGGTGTCCTGCTTCTTTCTAAGCAACGGAAACTTCTAAGCCTGCTAGCGCCGTCTTTGAGCCGTCTTATTACTGCAGTTTGTATGCTTGATAAAGTTTCTCCTCTTTTAAGGTTTCTGCTTTGTCTTCGGAGTGTCTTTTACTTTCTTATTTGAATATTTTTTTTCCGTAGAAACACACCTTCGCAAATATTCACTCTTTCTCATTTATTGGATCTTTTAACTTTTGAGGGGAACATGAATCAAGCGCTCTTTGAGACCGAGAGGGTTTTGCATTGTGCCAGAGACCTCATAGACCCCGTATTCTATCCGCTTCCCCTCATATCCTCCGTACTCCATCCACTTTCCTCCTCTTCTTGCAGGCCGAACTGGTAGCCTTCGACGCGGTCACTAAAGTCTTTGCTGACACTTTTAAGCCTTCTCTTCACGCTTTAATATCATCATTGCCCAGCTTTGGAGGTTTTAATAAAGTCTCCGCAATACTTATATATACCAAAAACTTTTTTCTCTTTGAGGATTTTCCATGGAGCTCCTTGTGGCCCCCAACTCTCATGAGCTATTTCAACGTTGCTTTACGATTGTTGAGACGCAGTTGTATCCGAAGTTGCTGTCATACGAGTCCTTGAGGACTTTTGGGCCTTCTCTTCTACTTATTGCGCAACAGTGGAAGTCCTCATCCCCAATTGTTAAGCATAAGTCTTCGACCAATCCAAATATTGTTTATAGTTAAATAACTTTAATTAACTTTTACCTTAAATTTATCTTAAAGATGTTTATAACAATGTAGCTACTCTTGAAGGCATTGCGCACGCTATACTTGTCCGGCTAAAGGCAGTTCGCACGCACTTATTGGAGCGTCTAACTTCGTTTACGGGTGATAGTGCCATCGGTAATATAAAAGTCTTTACTTCACTTTGGTTCTTACTGCTTTGGTAGAAGAGGAAGAATTTTTGAAGCACCAGATTTTACTCCTACAGAAGAATTTTAATATTATTGGGAAGCACTTCGATATCGCAGTTATATGCGGAAAAGTGCACGAGTTCCTGCAACAGCTTAAAGTTATTGTAGATGGTACTCAATACTTCAGTTTTTACTTTTATTTTTTGTCTTTCTATTTAAATTATAGAAATTCAGTGCAACCGCTTGAGAAAAGACCTTATAAAGCAACTTATACTACTCATTAAAAAGTTGTATAGTGGCCTTTCGAGTTATATCTCGTTGGTGGGTTCCGTGTATTATAAATTAGCGCTTTTTCACATGTCTTTTGGGAAAATGCACAAACTCTTGCTGAATCTATTTTACGAGCTCCTGGTTAAAGGCTTTTGTATCCCCGAAAATGCGGTAAAGGCCGTTTTGAAACGTCCCTATATACTTAGTTTATTGCAACGTCTATTCTTTTAAAGCAATTGGCGGAGTCCTCGGAGACCCGAGGCGGCAAAGAGGCGGGTATTGGCGAAGGAGAAGGCGAGAAAAACGTCAGTGGCGAAATCGATGACGCGGAGCAGGTGTTGGGCACTGAAGGGACCAGAAACACCGACGACAATGAGCCAACCAACGTGGATGAAGAGGAAGGCATCGAAATGAACTACGACTTTGAAGGAAAACTCTTTGATATGACTCCAATGAGTGACGAAGTTGATGAGAACCAATCGGAATTCGACGAAAGTAATGCGGAGGACGAGGTATGTTTTTTATTTGGTCTGATAGACACATATGCGCATTCGCGTTTCTTCAACAGATTGGTCCAGTAGAACAGGAACTCGTTGATAAGCACATGGCGCCAGCTGACCTTGAAGCCTCCCCTCATCATGATTCGCGTAAATATCCAACGTTGCACTTAAAAAAATATTGTAAACCTTGTTCTTTTGGTTCGGTAAGGGCATTCCCCCCAGCAGTTCGACGAATTGGGGCAGACCGAACCTGAAACTCAGCCCGAATTGACGGCTAAAGAGTACGAGTCCGAGGTCGAAGGCGTTAGCAACGAAGAACACATGGATTCTGACAGCAGCAATGCAGGTAATGTAGTTTCACTTGTTTGTTTCAGGTATATCATTACCCACCCTGCCCTGTTACAAAGCTGAGATCTCGGACGAATCGGCGTTACTTGACGAAGAAGAAAAACTTTTAGAAGAGGACATCCAAGGAAGTGGTGAGGACGACGCAGAGTTGTCAATGGTTGAAGCTGCCAGCTCTGATAAGCCCACACGTAATTTTATGATATATTCTATGCCTATTGGACGCTACTAGTATTAATTATAAAAAAAATAGCACTTGAGGACGCTAATGACGAAGTCGTTAATGAAAACTCTTTGGTTTGTTCGAAAGAAAGTGAACGGGAAGCTCTTGATGAACACGAAAAAGGTGTCCCTGTTGATGAAAAGGAGAATTGCAGCAGTTTAGAGGCTGGTACCCCGAATATGACTTCGGCTGGTCAAGCACAACGGTCTGAGGAACAAGAAAGGAGTATTGGTGGGAGATATAATTATATAATTCTCGTAACACTAATAGTAATACAATGTAATATAAAGAGCATAAGTCTGGCTCTCCACTTGCTCAACCAGCGGATCATAACGCGGTAAACTGCACCAATACAGGCATCCTTGCTGTGTGTGTGAGTATAGTACAATTAGAAGCAAGGAGAAGTTGCTGCGCCATACGATTGGCCCCGTGAATCTCACCGCAGTGGCAACAACTTATACGGAAAACAGAATTACAATGCTGGAGAGAATAATCCAATCAATGAGGTGTCGCGTTATTGGTGTATGATAACTTTCCGGTTTCATTAGGATTATAGCCCTCGAAAAAAGACCTCAATGTAAATCCTTTTCGGAGCGTTGGAGACGCCGCAAAGAATTGGATGGAAAGAGCTCGCGTTTTCGATATGGAAACTAACGAACTTGTATTGCATGCCTTTCTACATTGGAATCGCTTAATACTTTTTTTTTAGGAAAATATTCTCGATGCTTCCGAACAGAAAAACTGCAATAAATGTGATTCACATGAGTATTCCTACATCTCTGAAAATTTTCCATTACGTGACGATGATAAACAAGTTTTAAGTAATCAGTAACTTGCTTTATTACGTCACTCTTTTTCTTGTTATGTACCTGTTTTTTTGGTTATATCTTCTGTAATAGTGCTATATCATATTATAAGGCTCCGCTTCGAAAGAGCAAGCCGAGTACTCTTCTAAGAATCAAGCAGAACCCGAAGAGAACGCTTCTGATGCACGGAACTTTGATATTGAATTATTATCGGGAACGAACGAACTAAAAATGGAAGTTGACGAATCCTCAATGCTTCCCGCGTTGAAGGAACTAGAAGTAAACCGCAGCGATCAGCACAACGCCGGCAAGCTCAGCCGCATTTTTACAGAAAGTGAGAAGACTTTTGAGGATATAGTGGATCGTGAGGGAGTACCCACAGATTTGCTGAATGAAAACATAAAGGCCGAAAACAAAATACTGAATGCAGAAGAAAACCAGCACCAACAGTCTTTAGAGCAGGAAGACGCCACCGAACAGCTCAGTGCCAAACTGGAGGGTGCTTTGGTCAATTGGAGAAAGCGTTATCAACAGAACGGTCTACTCTCATTGTTGCCAGTTATCTATTACGTATCAAAATATTATTATACAAAGAGTCCCAGCAATCGCAAGCTCGCGCTGTTTGGAAGAAGTATGATTCATTGACCCAACATGCTGCTCAGGATTTGTGCGAGCAACTTCGCATTATACTCGAACCCTCGTTGGCTACTAAGTTAAAAGGTTTTTTTCGTTATTTACAGTTTGTGTTTTACTAAAATTATGGTAACTCTTTCCTATCAAATCTTTAGGAGACTACAAAACCGGGAAGCGTTTAAATATGAGGCGCATAATACCGTACATAGCCAGTCAGTATAAAAAGGTCGGCCCCTATAAGTTTTCATTCTCTTTTACTTTAATATTTTTTTCTAATTAGGACAAAATATGGCTCAGGAGGACGAAGCCTTCGAAAAGGGCATATCAAGTTTTACTGACCATTGACGATTCGGAGTCCATGTCGGACAGCTGCAGGTTTCCTATCACACTCTTCTCTTTATTACATTGTAACACGTCTATTGCAGTACGGCTTTGGCTTTTGAGTCTCTTTGTTTACTCAGTAAAGCGCTGACCTTACTAGAGGTCGGAGAGCTTTGTGTCATGAGTTTTAGCGACTCCGTAAGGCTTCTTCATCCCTTTTATGAGCCATTTACTGAAGAAAACGGAGCCGCCATTGTATCTCAACTCTCATTTACTGAAGGTTTGCTTACTGAAAAGCTTATAATATTTCTGGTTGTAACATACTCGTGACAGGCACCACTAACTTTTCTCAAATGTTAACGACATCACTAAACTTCTTAAAGTCGTCATCACGGAAAAGTCATCTTCCCGTCAGCCAACTGCAGTTTATCATATCTGACGGTACTATCACGTGGCCTTTGTTCACTCTTTTTTCGGTGAAATCACTCTTTCTGTAGGGATTTGCCCAGATCTGGAGGCTGTACACCAGCGTGTTGTAGAGAGTGTCAACGCTGGCGTGCTTCTTGTGTTCATCATCGTTGACAATCCACAAGTGAAGCAACACTCTATTATGGACATTAAGACCGTGACGTACCCTCGAGGGAAACTGAAGATTAGCTCATACCTGGACCTTTTTCCCTTTCCATATTACGTTATTCTGAGGAACGTCAGTGCTCTGCCTTCTATTTTAGCCGATGCCCTCAGGCAGTGGTTTGAACTTTTTTCTTCTCAATAAATTCGTTTTTATGCTCTAATACTATCACTAATGGCTCCTGTTTCGTGCACGAACTGTTATGTGTTCGGTAAAGTTATAATCAGTGAGCTATTCGGGTTTTATTTTGTTACTGCGTTCCATCAACAAACACCGTCTCATTTGCCGCTTTATATAACACGGTGATTATACAGCATTTCTGTTTATAAAAATCTCAAATACCAATTACACGCCGAAATAAATCCTCTAAATACGGGATGCGGTTTCAGCGGGCGTGTTAAATACTCTGGGTGGTACTGCACGGCAACAAAGAAGGGATGATCGTCCAGTTCGAGAATTTCCATTCGGCTTCCTGTATTAGAAATAATAAATTAGTCTTCAAACAATACGCATTAATTACCAGAGTCGTCACGGCCAACGAAGTGCAGTCCGGCGCTTTCAAAATGATCGACCATTTGGGGATTGACCTATGAAACAACTCTATATAGAATTAAGGCATCCTTTAAAAGAAATCACTTCGTAGCGATGCCGGTGGCGTTCCTGTATCGTTTCTTTCTGTCCGTAAAGCTTTTCTTAATAAACATTTTAAGTAAAGAAGTAAAATATTGTGCGGTATGAAAGGTGAATAAGTAGAAAAAGACCAAATGAATTGACTCAAAAGTAATCATAAACTTATATGTACTCGTCAAGCAATCCCGCTGGAAGTGTGTGGTTCGCAAACCCAACCGCATTGTTCCGCCTTTGTGTGTACGGGAGACCTCCGGCATGTACTCCACCACTGGGTGGCTGGTTGCCGGGTCAAATTCAGTGGAGTTCGCATCTGTATTAAAGGTTCTATTTTCAAAAAAGTAAAAAACACAAAATTCAACCTTCCCATCCTAAAACGTTACGAGCATGTTCAATGACTGCTACTTGCAAGCCCAAACATATTCCTAAAAGGAAAGTAAAGCAACCAAGCGGGCAAGCAAAGCAGCAACTTACCAAGAAAGGGAATCTTATTACTTCTAGCCCATTCTATTGCGGAGACCATGCCGAGGATGCCCCTGTCCCCGAAGCCGCCAGGAACCAAGACGCCTCTGTAGTCAAAGGGTTGTCACTAAAGAAAACCACTAGGCGCGAAAATGCTACTATGTGAGATACTCTGAGGAACAAAGCTTCTCCCATGATGTATGGTACTGCGCTGGATATTTTTTTTGGTTCTCCTTCTCAAGGTATTCTGCTTCAATCCAGATGATCTCGAGCTTACGGGAGCATTCCACCGATGCGTGCTCCAAGGCCTTGATTACCGACATGTAGGCATCACGCATCCCCGTGTATTTACCAACAATCGCGATTCTAACGCTATCCCTTAACGTCTTTAAACTACCGAAGGAACATAAATCCGATAAGTGGATAAGTGATCAACCAACAGAAAGTACCGTCTGCAAAACGCTGACCAGATACTAAGAGACTGACTGCTTTCGTCAGACGTGGGTACCACTCCGTTATTCAAGTGAAACTTTTTATACAGGAGTTCCGGGAGATCCTGCTTAACCAAAAGCAACGGCACTTCGTACACGGAAGAGCAATCGTGAACTGCTAGTATTTTTTTCGGTTCCACGTGACAAAACATAGAAATCTTCTCCTTAATGCCTGGCTGCAAGGGCAGAGTACTACGGCATATTATCTACCAAAGCGCCACAGTTACAAGAAGCAGGCAAGATTAATGTCTAAACATACCATATCTGGATAAAGGCCGAGGCCTCGCAAGTCTCGAACGCTCGCTTGGGTCGGCTTTGTCTTCTGTTCACCATCCAAAGTGCCCGTTTGTGGGACAAGACTTACATGCACGAGACAAAAGTTCTGTCAGTAACGCAAATGTTAGAAAAAAAAGGGAAGTCGAGCAAAAAGTTCTGCTAACTCACATGGTCTCCTACGCGAAACTGGAACTGCCGCATCGCTTCAACGAAGGGGGCACTCTCTATATCACCCACCGTTCCACCCAGCTATTCTTTCAAGTCGTTTTAACTAAAATGTAAACGTAAAAGGGTTGTTACAATATAAATTTACTTCCACGATGCAAACTTCTGGTTGTTTTTTACTTTCATCCACACTAATTTGAGCTACACGCTCGATCCACTCTTGAATCTCGTTTGTAAGGTGGGGAACAACTAATTTTAGTATAAAAAAGTAGAGTATAAGGCTGTGTAATATTAAACAAAAATGATTGGAGTAAAATAAAAACTGCCGTGTATGAAAAAATGACCCTGAACAGTGCTCCCGAGGTAATCACCTCTCCTTTCTTTATTTATGACGTTCTGGTAAACTTTTCCAGTAGTAATATTATTATGTTTCTGTAATGTAATTCCTAAAAATCTTTCGTAGTTACCCAAATCTAAGTCAACTTCTCCCCCATCATCTAGTACAAACACCTCCCCTAAAAAGGCATATCAGTATACTTTTTATAAGTAGATAAACAAACTATTCTACCATGTTCGTAAGGGGAGAATGTGCCGGCATCAATATTTAAATATGGATCAATTTTAACTGCAGTAACTTTTAAACCACATTGCTTTAATAAAAAGCCAACACTACTTGCGATAACTCCTAAATAAACAGAAAATAAAAAATTGCTTAACCCCACATATTAATAAAAGAAGTTATACGCCAGTGCAATATAAATTCTTAAAATAGATATTGCATATAAAAGTTATTACGCCAATTTTTGAAATTAATAACAAGTATAGACACAGAAAAACCGTTAATAATTAATTTCGATACATTAAAAAGCGCTACTCTAAGTTTAGGCCGCAACATTGAACACTAGAATCTACAAGCCTAAATATTAAGGCATAATTTATTTAAATACAGAAATTGTTCGCATATGTAGCTTCAATTAATTTGTTGTAGCAATAAATTTAAATCAAAAATATAAAATTTGAGCACAAAGAACATAAGCAACGATCACAGATATCATAATTTTATAACTCGTCCAAGTTTCTAATTTTAACTAGGAATATTAAATAGCAACATAGAATTACAAAACCTTTCCCAATTCCGCTTATGACTCCGCCACTTACCACAACGTACTTAGTTTGCTTTTTAAGAGAATCCATATTATTTTAGTTATAAGCTAAACATTAGTCAAGTCATCTTTAAGAAATGTGAGGGATCACGTGCATTATGATAGCAAACTATCGAGCAACATCAGGTTACGAGGCATAACCGATGAAAAAAACATTTTTGGTTTTTAGTAAGATATAGTTCAAAAACATGTGCTTTACTTATGGCTATGTTGAAAGCAAACATTATATTAATGATTTTTAGTGGCGAAATTTAACTTTAAAAAAATAACATTTAAACTTTGAAAGGGGAGCTGCAATAAGTAGTCTTTAAACCGCACGACTTCGAGTTTGTAAATTTTGTATCAATCAGTTAAAATTTATTTTAGTTTTGTCATCTAATATCTATTGCTTTTAACCCGTTAGCCACTAATTTATGTCCACTCTTAGTAACATGGTCAATCCTAGTATAGGCAGAACTAGGGAGTACATACCAATATTTGTACAGAACTAAAAGTCATCTCTTATTAGCAGTGTGGTAATGTTTCATTCTGTTTGATATCGCGAGTACACCGAACGGATACCTACACGTGGCATTTCCACAAGGAAAGAGCACGAAGTTGTTATATAAAACAAACTGAGCATAAACAGAATCTACAAAAAAGTCTAGGCAAAACTCAAATTAGCTGGGCACTGGGCACAGAGGCCTTCAAACTTTACAGCAATCTATAAAAGAGCTTTACTGTCAACTTAAGCTTTTATATATAAAAAGCATCTATTAAGTAAACTAATTGGATCTTTACTCGTCAAGTTAAATGACTCAAAAGGTTTAACGATGTTTTTTTAATGGAATTTTAGCTAGCGTCAGATGTAGTACCGTGGGAGGATCACATTCTCGACAAGGATTGCACTTCAAAAATTTTAACCACTGATCTATGGCGAATTTTTATAAAATCTGGCTTAAAAATCACGCGATAAACCTGTAACTATTTAGAAACCTATTCCAGCTTAAAAAGTACCCCATACTATGATTATCGACTGGTTGAGTCTTTGTTTACATACACTTTTGCTGCGTTTAAATATCTAATATTTGTGTTTACTTAGAAGTTACTTTAAGCTACTTTAAACGTTTTTGGTGATGAGTACAATAAATTTAATGAAATGAAAAAGTGATATGGTTTACGTGGGCAAAAAAAATAATTATAAATAAAAAAAATTACAAAAGATTCAAATTGGAATGTACCAATTGCATACAAATAAATTCAAATCAAATGAACACTCTAATTAATCTTATAATAAGTAATGCTCTAAGTGTTATTAGTAACCCCTTTGATAACTGATTTAGTTTTTTGTTTTGGGTTGGGTTCTTCAGTTTTGTTTTAGCTTCACCCGATTACTAAGATCTGCAGCCAAATACAAAAACTAAACAGCAAAGAAGCGCGAAATAAGGGGAAACCCTATAAATTTTTTTTTTCCACTGGCATACTACGGCTGGTCTTCGTAAGAGGCCTTAAACCGCTTAATCTGAATTCTTCTCTTCTGCAGGGTTTGGAGCGCAAGTGTGCCCGCCAATGTACTCTCTTTGTAGAGCTATCATGCCTGTCCGAAAAGACTGAAAAACAGAAATTATCCAGCCCTGACTGCCACCATTTGGTTTAGTATGTGGAAAAGCGCTAGAAACCACCACCAGGAGAGGCAGCCCTAGGCACAAGATCAAGGAGGCGTTTGGGGAAACCGGTCAGGACCACTGCCAGCCAGCCCTTTCCGGCTATGTGCTCCTATACCATTAGTGTTTTGTTGTGTATTAAATATATATACGGTCTGCTTTTGCAATAATCATACACTTTATAGAGTAAATGCTAGCCTTTAAAACTGGGTTCCGCAGAATCTTTAAAATAATAACCTAATAGCATAAATATAAATTAACTCGCTATAAACATGTTAAGGAACATAACAAGACAGCGAATAATAGGCCTAGAGAAACTAAAGGTTATTATATCTTAAAGGTGAACTCTTATTATAGAGTATTTACGAAATGATACTACGAAAAACGAACGCAAAGTATATCAGCTGATCTGTGATTGCTACAAATAATTAGCACTTCCCTTCTAACATTAATGTGATTACATATTATAACCAACTATCGCAAGGCACAAGTCTGTGTGTCTGCGGTATTGTCCCTAAAGTAAATATCCTTTAAAAACAGTATTGTACTTACCATAATTGAGAGCAGCTAATTTGTCGAGTTATAGCATAATGCAATTATTCAATGTAAAATGAGCTTCAATAAGTAGAATACGCAAGAGGATTCCTTTCAAGGCATCCTCCATTTGACATTAGCAATGCTTTTACTTTTAAAAGTTGTTGGATTTTAGTTCTACAGGTCTATCATACCCGTTAAAATTATCTTGAAAAACTACGGTTTGTTTTTAAGGCTTTTAGCGTAATCACCATTACGAAATCCTTAGAGGAAATAAGTCACATTATTAGTATTATAAAATTTCGTGCCGAGCATATACCTAACAAACTGCCGGGCAGACGGCTATGGTGTTAATTAAATTTCTAGATATATCTTTTACAGAAGACGCTAGGCCATTAAAATATTGTTTGGTAGGGAAATTTATAACGCTGTACAGCTAAAGTTAATGATGCTTCCGGTATTTGTGTGGTTTGACATTAGTCAAAAAATATATATATTTTTATTTTACAAGGGTTTATATCAGTTAGTAAAATTTTTATAAAATACCTCCTTTCCAGTATTATAACGTCATGCCTCGGCTTAACAATGGAAACAACAGCGCCACCCGGTTCTTTCTAAATGGAAGTACGAAGACGGTAATTTTTGAATAAAGATATAAAAGAATCCGACTTTTTGAATAATTTATGCATGAGTCGCTGTGACCCTGAATAATGTCCCTATTAAATAGCTTTCAGTGCGTCGTCACAATCTATTACTTGTTATATTGTTTTAGGATAAATATAAACTGGAGGAAGGGCGCTCAGTTTCTCATCTTAATTAGCCGCTACTTCAACATGTACGCTGCTTACCTAGAATAAAGTGATTAATTTAAAGCTAACAATCGATTGAACCTTTGTTTTACGCTCGGAGTTATACTTGAGATTTAGGTTCTTTGCAATGTTTCTTAATGATGGTAAATAAAAAACCCATAAATTTTTGTTGGCACAAAATTTGCATTCGCACCCAACGATGATATATTCGCAAAGATAACATCTTCAACTAAACTCTAACCCGAAATGATAACCATTAGAGATCTTTGTATATTTTTCAGCATAGATGCTGATCTTGCATCGACCGTTGCGTTGTCAGCGTTACTTCTAACTTAAAAATCGCTTGTAAATGACTTATTCTCCTTTGACTGGATTAAACTACAATAACAAATATTTTTTAAAGGTTAAAAAAGATCGAAAATTTCAACTATTAATTCTTTTTGAGGTTTGGCTCATTAAGACAAAAAATTTAATTAGTAAGGAACGTGTCCAATATTAATATTAAAAAAATTTTTGACCACATAGGAAAACAAACGGAGTTAGGATGCTAACGATTAGTATTAACCCTTTTTGGTAAAGATTATATCTACTCTCACTCTCTGCTCGTGTTTTGCTAATTTTAGTACTAATTTCATTTGTATATTTGTTGCTTTTTCAACATTTTTTTTGTTTTCTGTCTTGATTCTGTCTTGACTTTGTTACTACGTGGGGAAGTGCTAAACTAAGGGCCCTCTATGGACAAAAGTAAACCTACTGATGAGGTTACATTATTAGTACTAAAGCTATCGTAAGTATTTCTTCCTACTGTACTTTAGAAGGAAAAAAAAATAAGTGCCTTTAGAAGAAGATTTACTTTAAGCCCTTCTACTGTATACGCTACAACTTCCTTTAAGGAATTACAAGATAAAGGTTATTGGCGCAAAGTTGAAGAATATCAAGAACGTTTGGTATAAAGACTTAAAATATACCTTACTACCCTACAAACACTTTTTTGGTAAGAAAAATTTAAAGTTCTCAAGAAATATCTTATTGAAAAATGAAAATAAAACGAAAGAGGAAGAGATGGAGTGTGCTGTTCTAGCAGATGAGGTATATTTTACCTAACTTCTCTCCGAGTCGTTATTTGAGTTAACTCGGAATTACTTCACTCAGATACAAGTCGTAGAAGAAAAGTTAAATGGATTAAATACTCAAAGGTTCGTAGTACTTAAAAATTTAAAAAGTTTTTGTATATTAGTCTAACCTTATCTTAATTTCACAACTAAATATACGTTAGTTATTGTTTCTTAAAACCTTACACATAGCCTAGCTTTCGTTTATAATATTTAGTCTTTGGAAGTGTTAAGAGGAATGTTTAAAGATTTTAAAGGTTTATAAATTACACCTTGTCACAAGTTTTTGCAAGCACCACTCAACATAAAGCTATTCTTTAAAATTCTCCCCTTTGCTGTTTGTTACCTGTGTTTATTTATTCTTTAGTTATACTTTAATCTTGTTTTAAAGTTAAGGTAATAAACTTTAATAGCTCTTGTAAATTTTAAGTATACCAGTTATTAAACAACCAATTAAACAAATTAAAAGGTTTCTTTATAATATTTACCGCTCACTTTATATTTCATTCCAATGTTAAAATAGCTTTTTAACGGTTTAAAAAAAGTCAAAGAATAGTTTTTCAAGGATTGAAAATAGAAATTGGTTTTTGCACCCTATTGAGATATAATCTATATCGTAAAAAGGCAAATAGGAGGAGCACTTTTTGCTTTGTACTTGGCTGGTTGTGACGGTTTTCTCATAAAAAATGCTTATAAGCATGGTCGTGTGACCATGCTGGGGGAAAAGACAAGCAAATGCAAGGAGGTATATCTACTCTTCTGCGATAAAACTTATCGAGGCCTTTACGTGTTCGACAACGTTCACACTAAACTCAATGAAGCGTACTTTATTATTATTGTCCGCGGTGCATATATTTTTTTTATATGCTTCATATTTAGAGAATATGGAAACAATTTAAAGCCGCTGCACATGATAAGCCTTAACGGTACTACTCTTATGTTTTTTTAACTTCAAAAACCACCTTTTTGCGTTAAAGGCAGCATTTTAAGGATTAACGGAAGCAGAGAGTTCTCCATTTCTGTGCGTATACCTGTAAACAAGGCAAGTTTCCTCCAAGTGTTTTCGTTATCCTCATTCATGTTCTCATGCAGAATATATACGGTGATGAGATATACTGGGCAAACCCCAGCAAGCGCTCTATGAAAACACTTAGTTTTCTTACCGATACTAAAGAGGAAGCCGATGTATTTTTGTTTTTCATACATTTCCTTGCACCGAATAGATATCGCTCGACCCCAACGCTCAGGCTTGGGTCCACTGTCTTCAAGCGAATATTCTCTCCGGAAATGCTTCTCAGGAGCTTCTACGAGTTGTGCAGGACTTTAAAATAACAGTCAAGGTGCCTTGTTGCTATGCATTGTTGAATTTAGTGAGTAATAGTAAGTAATGATGATCGAGACTGCAGTCAGCAGTCTTTTTGGTTGAAAAGCCTCCACAGGATGCGTATGTAAGGTGAGCAACGTTATTTTTACTCTGGGAATTGGTAGTTTCTCTGTTTTACTTCTGCAGGATTCTGTTAGGCAGCGAGTGGCAGGGACAGACGCCCATTGTTCGGTCCGAAAAGGGTTTTATAACTTATATGAAGTTATATTTAAGGAAGCACTTTTGTTCTGAGCGTTACATGCAGGCTCACTCGACTGGATGTATACGCTTTACTTCGAGAATATATCCTCCAGCATCGATGGCGTCACTTTTGAAGTTCGTCTTTTCTTAATAAATTATGATACGCATTTGTGCTTAACTTGGTGTTGTCGTTGCGATTTTTTATTAATCTTTTACTTTATATTTGCTTATTTCTATTAATAATATACATGATAAACAGCTTGTAGCCACAAAACCCAAAAGACAGCAGCTTGGTTAGTTGTTATATTTTATTTCCGTAGACTTGCAGGAGATCGTCATTCTTGTTCTTTCAGGTTCTGTGTTTGTGTCTGCCTCTTCGTTGATGAAAATGGGCTTCTCTGCTTCGAAGCTGGGCGAGTGGTAGGAGGACACTCTTCATGAAGCTCTTTATCACTTTTTAATAATTCTAAATAGGCTCCATTTGTATGACGTCAACAGCAAGGTTCCTGAAAAAATAGGAAAAATTCTGGTGGAAATCTTTTTTCATTACCAGAAAATTCGCCCATTAGCTGAATATCAGGCGTGTTTCCACATAGTTTTTGTCAGTCTCTTTTTGCCACATGGGCTTATCAGGCTTCTGGTTAGGACATTGTCGATACTTTTCGTAGAGTTATTAACTTAGAGCAGTCGGACCTCACCGGCTTTATGGAAGTTCTTGACACTCTGGAAGTATATATATAACATGCCCTTCCCGTCTCTTTCCTTTACAACTGCCACCAACATCGGAAGCTTTCTGATAAAAATATGGTTGGCCTAAGCCTACTACGCTTTGCGTTTTCTGAAAGGGAACATGTGAGGGTTGCCTGCATACAACCGGCTGATATCTAATTTACTTATCCTCGTTGTGTAGTACATGAAAACTTTGGCCCTTGTCGAAATTAGTAAGGAAACTTCGACCAATGTCTTGTTTAGGAGCAACAGCACTTTTTCTAAGGCATATATCCCTTTTATTTCTAGCACACGTCTCTGCTATATAAGTTTAGAATGCTTGTATTTCTCTCTAGTCCATGGACTTTTTAATAAATTTCCTCGGCAATCGTTACTTGAAGGAAACCATTGGAGAGATCGTCACCGAGATTGTACAAGAAAAATGGGTGCAGTTTTTAAACAGAGGCTATGTAAAATAAAAGTGACACCTGTCATGCATTATGACCCTTCAAGAACATCGAGATTGACCCGCTGGTCGTCACAGATAAGAAGACCTTCACCAGAAAGTGGGAGATGCTTAAGGATCTAGCAAAGTGGGCCTTCTTTTTGTACTCTCGGTTGTTAAATGAGCATTAATTTCCACCAGGAAGCTTCTAGATAGAATCCTTTCTTCTGCCGAAGCCATTCCTGTGGAAATTCGATGTATTTTAAAAACCATCAAGTATAAGACGCAGTCCCACTTTGAACGTGAAAGAGATTGTATGGCTTTCTGCTTTATATGCCTGCAGAAGCTCATAACTTATTATGATTTAGCGGTGGTAGATTTTGATGCGACGGTTTTAATATCCGTTTCCTCGTGAGTTTTGTTCCTCATTGTCAGTGAAAAAAATTAATCTCCAGCAGTTTTTTATTCTTGCGCTTCTTTGCTGCTGCTCTGCTTTCGCCTATGTTAGAACCTTTTAACTTAACGGATGCTGTACCTTCCAAAGAGGCTAAGGTATAATTTTTTCTTCAATTTTCTTTTAATTGTACTTTCACGTTCTTCACTTACCATTTCGTAATTAACAGAGAACACTGACGCTTATAAGTAAGTTATGTCAAAAGTTGTCGAACCTTTTAGAATTTTCTGAAAGTGACACCCAAATGGTACTTATTGCCTTTCTGTAATATTTCTCTTCGAAAAGAACAGCAGTAACTTAAAGAGCTTTGTTAACTTTAACACTGCAGGCCTTGTCCTCTTTTATAGGAAGATTTTTTATAAAACTATTAGTTGAGGTAGTCTTTTGACTTCGGCAGACTCGAAGTACGGTAGAGCAGAAGTATGGCTGAAAGTAGTGTGTGTTACTTACTAGCTTTGCGTGATATGAACCCTTCTTTAACTGAGTTGAATATTTGTATTTACACGTGTAGGCTCCCATAAACAGTTTTCTACACGAGCAATTTTACTTTGACAAGATGCGAGTCTTTCTGCACAAAGTTATTACATACCGTATAGAAACGCCGCTAGTACATAATGCCGCAATTGTAGGCTTCAGAAGTCCCTACTAAATTAATATACCATCACGATTTTATCTGTGATGTTGATGTCGCTCGAATATGTGAAAAAGTCGAAAAAATTTTCCCTCAACTTCGTCAAAACTGTTAATTTTATTTTAAAACAAAAAACTTCTGTTTCTTGCTTTAACGAATATTTCCTTTTTCAGTCTAAAAACATTCCGCTTAAATATATTCCTTTGAAATCGAGGTTGCCGTCTTGTTAGCTTAAGATTCCTTTACTCTTATATAATTCCTTAAGTTCTAGTTTGTGTGTTCCGCTGATACCATTGCGTCCACCGGCATCGCTAGGCTGCCCAGCGGGGATATGGAAGGTTGCAATAAAAACAGCTTACAGTTACGTTAATAAAAGTGCCTAAGAATATTGATACTGAGAACTTTTTTTTGCTTTTTACTTCTGAATTTTCCTAATTGTTTACCGCCGTGTACAAAAGTCATTTTTTCCAAGTGTTTGACCGGGAATATTGCTGCATTGCTGGTGCATTTGTTTAAAAAATGTCCTCTAAAGCAAAAGTATGTAGTAGGGTGCGTCGCTGTAATTAAATTAATAAAAAATTTAATTGAAAATTTTTAAGTTTTATTAAAAGTACCTCAAAGGTTGTAAATTATTAATCGTTGCAGATGACGACTAGGCGTGGTTGTTATGCATACGACACTTCGAATTTACTACTAATGAATGGTACTGCTAGTCGTAGGCCCGGTTCAGCTATAACTTTCTTTAGTATAGTTTTTAAAAAAGTTCTAACTTGTTTGTTTGGTATATAAGAATTTTTCTGTTTAATCTGGTATTATTATTTATCTTTATAAAAGGTCCCTATTAATTGGATTGTTGTTATTATTTATTTCGTTCTGTCTTCACTTTAAACGTAGCTGCAATCTTTTATGTTTTACTCTTTTTTTTTTCCTTGTTAGTTCAACCTCCCTTTGCGTGGATCTTACGATTAGCCTATAGAGCTGAATATAAGTTAATGTACTGTCTCGTACTCGTGCTGAAATCAGAAGTTTCAGACTTTTATATTAACCTTAAACAATAATTCCTTTAATCTACTCCCACTATATATAGTAAGTTTAGAAGCTTTTCTTATACCCCTAAGTCCTTCAAAGTTTTTTCCTTCCTGTTTTTTGTAGTGATTGTCACAGAATTGATATAAAAGACCGCTTTTAGGTTCGAGCTAAAAAATTTTGTAAACTAATTCATCCATGCTATTGAAAATGGTATACGGTATAGTCATTCAAGGCGACCCGCAAATGTTCAAGAGATGTTAAGATAAAATGATTTTATGATAACCCTGGGTTGTAGTCATTAGTTTTTAGTCGGTAATGGAGTCTCTGTAGAAAAGTCTGACTGATTCTGCTAATCGTATATTGCAATGTTTTAAGGCGCATTTCTAGTTTTGTCAAAAAGTCTTTTTTGTTGGTGGGATAAACTTTTTTATAGTAAGTATACCCCTTGCAGTACATATTTGTAAACCTGTTATTGTAATTTGTTATGTACAGAAAACTTGTTCTTTAATTTAAACTAGCTGTTCTTTAAAATGAATATTGCCTCAACTAGTAAATTATTATGAGCTTCTAGTTGGAAATACTACAGACTGCTAGCAAGTACTGTAATGAGATGAACAGATTGAAGATTACCGGATATATATATTGCAAAATCACATGCCTACGTTTGAATTTACTAACACAAGTTACTCTTATAGGTCAGCATTGTTAGTTTTTTTAGGCATTGTTATACACATATAGTTGTTAAGCCTAAAGTTATGTTTAGTAATTTACGCAAGTTTTGACTTAATTAAATTTTTTTGACGGTTCTTAGAAGTTATGAGATTCAATGTAATTGAGGCAGTTGGAAAAAGACGTGTTATATTCTAGGTTTGTATGTACATATGGTTTCTATACTATTTGAGCCTAAGTCAATAAACAGATAGCCAAGTAAAATGTATAAGCTAGTGAGATAACACACCTTGACAATGCCATAACAACGAAAATAGAGAAACAAGGCTGAGTGAGGAATAAAGAGCTACTAGTGTTGTTATATTATAACCATTCTTTAATATAAAAGTGAGGAAAGAGGATGTTGTGTTATGGAACCCAAATTAAGCCGGCCTTTTAATTTAACTACTTTATATTAAATTCAATAAGCGGTTTTTTAAAAAAGCTTTAGATTACTTATTAATTGTAATGAAGCCAGCGTCAGCATAATCAATATAATAGAACGCGCGAACCTTTATAACATAAAACTGAATCAAGCTAGACTATTACTACAATAACGCTATTGCTAGAAACCGAACTTTGAATGGCAACTTTATTAAGGGTTTACTGCTTTCAAAAGCCACTTAAACAATTATTCTTCCGGGAAAATATTTTCTTATTCATTGAGTGCTCCTTAACAATAATTGTTAAAGCAAAACTCATGTTTGTCGAAGTCATTCAACAGATTTTAAATCGGATCTCGCTCTTTAAAAAGGTAAGTTTTTAAAGCGGCCTCGCCCTCTTCTTCCCCTACCACGACGCCCCCCTAAATTTAACCGTTATGAGAAGTTGATCCTATTATAATTATAAGAGGTTAAGCATAAACCCCGAATTGTAGTACGGCCTTGAAATACTCCAATTCTTTTTACAACACCTACAAAATAAATTAACAAATATTACCTTTTGTAAATAATTATAAATAATAAAAAAAATGTAATAATAACTAAATAATATACTCAAAATTTGATAAAATATAATTAAACCTGCAGCTTCGTCTACATCACCAACGAGGGAAGCACGAGGTAAAGCGGGTGTGAGCCTGTTAACAAAATAATTGTGGATCGGAAAAAATAAAATACTCACTAACGAACGAATTTTTCTCAATCAACAATAATTTCAACAGTATTTAAAACTTACATTATAATTTTAAAAATTTAATAGTGGATTATGAGGGCCAAAAATTAATAGTTATATATTTGATACTTAAAAAGAATATTAAATCTTTTAAAGAATTATGCAAACTTCAAGCCTACTAAAAAAATTTATTTATTATATAATTTATAAAGTTTAGTATTTTTGATATTATTATATACAAATAAGTAAATTTAATTCATCAAATTTAGTTATGAATATTTGTTTAGATATCATTTATAATCAATAAATTTAAAGACAAGAATGATCCTTCAGAATAACATAATAAATAAGCTAGTAAGTTGTTAAGTTTAAAATTCTAATAATATAAGTTTGCCAAAATCTTAGAAAAATAAAAAAGCAAATAACAAAATTAGTAGCTGGCTATAAATCCTGCAAGCGACCTTTTTGTGGCGCACTCAGAGAGTCGAGCAATAGCACTAATTCGAGGCAACTTTGTAAGAACGGTTAGTTCAAGCGGTCGATCTAGAAAAAGTAAAAACGCAACACATGATTAAAGCTTCAATATCAATAAACCTTTTATAAGAAACGTAACCTAAAGGGAAAAAATCGATAAAAAGTTACAACAAACTGAACATAAAAAGAAGCAATAAACTTTACAAGACAATTTTGAAGAAGCAAATCGAAAACAAGTTTAGTTGCAATATATAAAATCTTAAATGGTAAGCATTAAGTTTATAATAAAACGTATTAAAACAAATAACATATAATTATGGTTTAGGATAAAAAAGTAATAAAAACAAATTTTTATAGAGCGCACGAATATGTATAACAGATGTGATGATTTTGGTGGTATTTACTGCTATAAAAGCAATAAAAGTTGAATTTAAGTAATTTATAATATATATATATTACTGTCAAGACAATGAGCCTGAAAAGTATTATAAGCTTTCAGAGCGTCCCCGGGATTTTTAAAAACAATTTCGGCAGAACCGAGGCACCTTCCCAAAAAATTTAAAACAGAAAATTAACTATTTGCAACTATAAACAATCGATAACACGAGTAGAGAAAAAATAACAAAGTAAAAGTAAATAATCTAATTAATGAAATATTGTATAAATTTTTAAAAAACTTCGACTATTGAACTTATCATATAATGACTAAGATTTATAGCGGTTAAGTAAATTTTGCATAGATACTCCAAGCAGCAGCAAAGTTGAGTAAAAGTAATTAAAACGTTAACTAGTAATCTATTTACATGCTAGTTTTATACTTTTACTACGACATAAGTTGTGTCTTTAATCCTCTAATTTTTACGTTCTTACTACTCATCCAAAATTATTTATTTAACAGGTTAGTTTTTAATTAAATAAATTAATCCTTACAGAGAAATTTCCTATATATGTCTAATTTTAACAAGTATTGCAATAAGGAAAAATATACAAAGTTTAAGCAACCTGCCTTTCGAGTCATAATTTACGGTGGCCTTAACCACAGGGCCAACAGTAGAAAATAATTCCTAAAGCGGAAATCGTTTCGATAGAAAAGATTTTTATCGTTGTTTTAATTAAAAATTCACGAAAGGCAAGGTATACAAATGAAGGTAACACTTATAAAGTAGTGGAAATGACAAGATGTGAAAAAACATAAAATCAATGGTTGTAGACTATTAATGAATAATAACAGGATATTTATATAACATAAAAGTAAAACTTAGAAACCAATAGCAGTTATACATACAAAAACTAAAGTGAGATTGTTATTGTAAATAGACAAGTATAAGCTTTCTTTTCCAAAGACAGAAAGATAGAATAAAATTTTTGTCAACTATTTGCATTAATTCCGTATATCAAAAATTACTTCCCAAGTTGCTAGTCATAAAGTTTTGTAGCTGAAAAAGATTAGGTCGAATCTATATATTAGTATATATATAACTTTCCATCATATCTTCATTAGTAACGTCTCTCATATTCGAAACAAGAAGACGTGTACTTTGAAAGGCCGAACTTGATTTTGCCAATGGTTGAGTAAGAGCAGTTTGTTGCTTAAGTTCTGTAAGAGAATTTCTTATAAATGACTAAATATAAAAAAAATAAACTGTTACTTTAAAGATAAGCTCTTCAGATACAGAATGTACCTCTGAAAAACTTTTATTAATAGGAGAAGAGGCTGATAAACGCCTTCGATTAAAGCGTCTTAAACTCCTTTTATTTATTTTGTTTTTTCCTTTCAAATCTAAAGTTGCAGAGTTATAAAGAAAGCTGAATAACAAAACTTATATAGAAACAAACCTTTTTTGTTTATAATAGCATTCTTAGTATTGACCATAATCAAACTCGCCAGAGGAAAATTTGACATAAAAGTCCGTTGGACCTCTCTTCTCCGCGTGCAGACCGCAGAGAAAAAATATATTCCGCCCGCCATTACCATCAGTAGGCTGCGACTTGGGAAAGTCTCTTTTTGGGTTGGGAAGCTCAGTTCCAGCGAAACTGCGGTAAAAAGCAAAGTTAAAAATTCATAGGTTACTATAAACTGGACTTTCGCTATTTTATGACTTGGTAAAATAATTAACCAAAATCTTGCTGAAATACTACTTACCGTCTCCACATTTTTTTTAATCCTTGGGATTAAATACCTTTAAATTTTTTAATAATTTTTTTGTTAAGTATTAAGTTTTTTTTTATTAAACATCGTTTATTATAAACCTGATATTTAATTTAAAAGTTATTTCTTAAGGTTATATTTCAGCTCTGCCAATAATGGAAAAGTCTCATGCTTCTCTCTTTGTTTCTGATGAGGAAGTTAATGATTTTTTTGATATTATTTCTCAAAATGCGCCTAACGATAACCTGTCCTCTTGTTCGGAATCATTATTTTTCCTTAAGAAGGAGGGTATTATTTTTTAAAAAAAAGTTGACTTACTCTAACGGTAGGAATTTTTTTTATAGAAATTGTGGGTCCCACTCAACCCTCTGAAAATGTTAATAAACCCGTATCCCAGTTAGCATCTCCCACTTTATTAAAAAATGTTTCCAGTGACTGTCGCGTTTATACTATGAACTCCAACGAAGTTCCGGAAGTTTCTTTAAGTTTAAAGCAAATTTCTGAACAATTTCCATGTGATAACAACTTCAACTTGCCTCCTGAAGTGCAGAGTTTTCTAGAACCTCAAGCACACAATGACTTTATAAATGAACTAAGTGTTAAGAATACTAATAAACCACCTGAGGCCAGCTATCAGAGTTTTCAAAGCGGGAGCTCCTCACCACCCTCTTTGTCCGATTCTTCCATAAAAATGAGTTCTTTTGGAGTCAACTCCTCTAACTTTCACGACCTTGGTAAAAAGCAAGTTATATATATTAGTAAAGTAACAATTTAACCTTTACAATTAATATTATTGGTTATATAAAAAATTATTATTGACCTTTTAAAGGTTTTTCTATTAGCGGTAAGAACCTTACTACTAAAGAAAGGAATCTTCCCCATTCAACAGATGTACTTTACTTTATTAATTTTTATTTAAATTCTATTATTTATATTATATAGAACAGCAACAAATCGGCCCTGACTCCATCACCGGTTGATTTTCAAGGTTTGTGGATATTTATACTAAAGGCGTAGTTTGCCCTTCACTGCAGACCTTCCAGGGGTTGACTCTTCCCTACTCCCCTGTGGCCCGTTCCTCCAGCCACACTGGCACTACTTTGACCGCGCTTTAAACTCTTTCGTTCCTTTCAGCGTCTCCGATTCCAATAAACTGGAGCACATCTACCTCTCTCACCAGCGGGGCGCTGTAGTAGCTGTTGAGGGTGAGAGGTACGACGTGGCTATAGATGACAGACTCATGCAGTCCGTTTATTGGCAGGAAGCTGACTCCATGGTGCTGCGAGGTACTGAGCATGATCACGTTTGTATTTTCCTTTTTGCGTTTTGCCTTATTTAGGCACTTGGTTCACCTATATCAATGGCCATGTCCAGCCATATTCAGAAGTCGTAGCAGGTAAGCAAACATCACAAGTTTACGCATTCCCTCTTTACCTTTTTTTCTTTCTTACAGCGTCTCTGGAGCTTGCTTTTTCAGAGGCGCTATTAAACGACAACTGGCCCAAACGGGTGGACTTGGAGGGTGGACAGTACGTGATGATACACTCCGAAAAGGTGATGGTCCACCATTGGCCAGGTGCTTTGTGCATGTGCGCCCCTTCTTTACAGCGCTTCTTTAACCCCCCCCCCCTCCCCTCCCCTTAAACAGGTGGGGGATACACAGCTGGAGTTTTAGCGCCGTCCACCACGTGCATAGTCATGCGGGGCTACGATCGGCGCCACTCCCTCCTCGGAGAAGTGGTGGAACCATCCCATCTTTTCCTAGTAGTGGCTGGAATTGGCGCCGGTAAGTATGATCAACTATTGGTAGACAACGTATTTGAGCAGATTTCTCTGCTAGAAATGGGCTTTCATAAGACCCAATGCGTCAACGCCCTGCGGCACACTCTGCACCAATTACAAGTGCAGCCAGAAACAGACGGTCGATTCCCCCGTATGGAGATCCTTCCTATTCATTGGTACACCTACAAGCTATTGGCGGCTTTGCCCCTTCCCGTCTTCAAGTGAATAAACATTGCTCGTTGCAGGGGTAGCCATTTCAAGCAACTGGACCGCATAAGAGAAACCGCTGGAATATCTACCCCTCCCGGAATTGAGAAGCTGAGAACCTTCATGGCGGACGCGGTGGTCGATCAAACTTTCATGCTCTCCAGTCACTTTCAGTCAGTCAAAGAGGCCATAGCGGCCGAGCTGAACCGTGTGCATTTATTGTTCTCCACTCGCCATCCCAATTTTAAAGGAGAAGTTTCCGTCATTGGCCATGGCATAGGTGCCATAGCCCTTTTTGAAATACTGCTGACCCAACAATTGCCTGCCCTCTCACCCGAACCTGCCTTGCGAGACACCTCTCTGCTGCCTTCCTTGGGCGATGAGATCACCTACCGGACAACTTCTTTGGCTTCTACAGACAACAATTTGCTAGAAGTCAAAAGACTTTTCCTAAAAAGAGCAAGCCACAAAGGCACCAAGCCGCTGAGTAAGTCACGTGCTATGTGGACAAACCATCCAGTTACTATAATTTACAAATAATTAGAATCTCACTTAAAGACGGCCAGCATGGACAGCTTTCGGTCAACTGTCTTCAACGACAAAGCAGTTTTTTCTAAGCATCCCTGTCACTTGGATTTCTACCCTCATTCTTTGGTTCTTCATTTCCGCATTGTGACTTGTTTAAAGTCCTTATGCTATTGGCAGGTGTGTCTCGGGTCCCCGTTGGGATGGTATTTGCGTGCCTCTGGTCACGAGCTCTCTCCCGCGTTCTACCTCCCGGCGTGCCGACATGTTTATAATGTATTTCATCCGTTGGATCCGTTTGCGTGTCGACTTGAGCCGCTGATACAACCGGAATACATTAACGTTCCGCCGGTGCAGATCCCTCACCACAAAGGTCACCGGGTATTTGCCTTAACTTTTCGATTAACTAATGGTACCTTGTTCTGCAACTCTTACAGGCAGAAAACGCCTTCACTTGGAGCTAAAAGATTTTGGAAGTAGCTTAATAGCGTCTCTGTGGTCCTGGTTTGCTCTTCAGAGTTACCAAGATACCCTCACTCTTGAATCTTATTGTTATCGCACGGAACCACAAGGTACAACGCACTGAGCCAAGACATAATAGAATCGGAACCCACTCTTGAGGAGGGTGAAGAGAAGACCGCTCCTTCCAACTTTGGTACTTCTGCAAACTTTACACTCTAGTTCCTTACCGTTTTTGCTGCTGGCAGATCACTTTAGTTCGGAAATGAACGCGCAATGCCGCATCGATTTTGTATTGCAGGAAAGTCCCATTGAGAGTATTAATGAACACGTGTTCTCTGTGCGAAGCCATCATTCCTACTGGCAGTCACCCGATGTGGCTCTATTTTTGGTCGCGCATGCCTCTCATGGATGACCAGTTTGGCCAAGGTGAGGCTAAAGTCACTTTATTCATTACTTTTTCTCGCGCCACAATTCGTTCTCACTGCTTCGTCCGTCCTCAATGGCGCTATTTTCATCTAACTCCTCGTCTTCGCTAAAACAGCTGGACTGCCGCCTAGATGGTTTGTGGTCTACTCTCCCGGAAATGGCTTCGTACTTGGACGGCTCCGTCTGCCATGCCAGGTGGGACTCCGGCATCTGGTTGAGCATATCAACAACTGTCTGATTGGATATCCCAAAGAAACCGGGCCCAGCTCCCAAGTGTTTGACGTCTCTCCGCTTGGCCTTCACATACAATAATAACAGATATGTCAGTAATAAAGTAGGAAACGAAACCCTGTTTATGTTAATTAGTATGCGTCTGTGGGCGTCTGTGGGCGTCTTTTCTACTATAGGGTTATCCTTGTCGTCCTCTGGAATAACTTGAAACTTGAAAGCAATGAGAATATGAGAGACAGGAATGAAGCTAAGACCTACCACAGGACCATCATCGCTATCAAGTATAGCACAGTGGTACTCAACCTTTTCGTCTGGGTTATATTGGCTCGCAAACAGACGGGTTGCTTTGAACCCTACTGGCCATAGGTACCTAACAAGCAATATCAATGATTAAAAAAATGATAATAGGGGCAATGAACTTAGAAGAGCGGTATCCGGGCTTTTTTACTTCGAGTGTTCCAATAGAGTGGATAACAAGGCCATTAAGCTTCATAGGATAGCGAACCTGTATAGGTAGTAACCAATTAAACCAGAGTAGATGCTTTAAGGCAACATTAAGGGTTTTTAAAAAGGTTAATTAGTAAAATAAGCGTGTGTAATGAAGGTTCTGCGTTTCCTCTCTTTCATTATAACCTTATTTTATGTAAGTTAATTCATCCTATGTTTACTTTTACTGTCCTCCCTAATGCGGGTAAGTTTACGATTCGTAACTGTGTGCAAAGACGCGAACTGCTAGTGAGGATATTTGCAGCACTCAACCCGTTAACTGCAATTAATATGCGGAACAAACCTTTAGATATAATAAAGGTTTTCTTTAATCTCCGCAACTTCTAGTCGAGAGTGAATCGTTTCTCGCTCTTGTCAACGCTACTAAACTTTTGCAGGCAACAAAAGTATAGCATGTGTTCTCGTCTAAACTTACTTTAACTATGGGGGGTTTTATTTACCCCCAAAAATTTACGCGAACTCACTAAAAAAATTATTGGGCTCTGTTTAGATGTATTTCAAACTTGAGATAAAGTTCGAGTCTTCTTAGTTTTCTTCCTCGGTGTTATAGAGGCTTCACCTGCAGACCTACTCAGTAATTATAGTAATGATAACAATTATAATAGCATTATTTAATGGCGAAGTACCCGCTCTCTCGTGAAGCTTTACTTTGAATTTTTAATGGTTTTTGTATCGGTTTTAGCTCCAAATCTGATTATATTTATAATAATAATAGTAAGAGTACATTAAGTAAGAAGTTCAAGTTGGGAAATAACGCCTCTGTTTTGCATGGTAGATATTATTTACAGCGAGCGACTACCAAAGTTGCCAACAGGGAAACTATAAATATGACTTTCTTATAAAAGCATTTATTAAAAATATATTTTTTAAAATATCCGAAAATAATAAGTAATCCGAGTAAAAGTTAATTAAATATATTATAAAAAATTTATTATATGTAAATTATTTTTAATAATATTTAAATAGAAAGGGAATCAGACATTAATAAGAATAAGAATGAAGCTCTGGTTGGAGCTCGCGAAAACAATCTTAGTAATTTAGGAAGTTATAGACCCAAAATTTAGAAATGCGCACCTGAAAATTCTGAAAAATCCGAATTTTCACTAGATTCGTCGTAAAAGGGTTCGTCTAAACTTAACGGCTCAAATTCCACCAGTTTAGATAGCATATAACTTTGAGTAATAATAATAATAATAATAATGATAATAATAATAATAATAAAACCTTTTAAATTGGTGTAAGCGGCGAAACTTATTTTTCTTTAGTTCAACTTCATGTCTTAGAAAAGAATTCAACTATTTTATAAAAAATAATTTTCTGACATTTATTACTTAAGGCAAACTGTTATGCAAAAGTTTATACAAGTTCATAATTTTGCAACTAACAAAATTTTGTTAACTTATAATTTATATAATATATTGTTACGATTAAAAGAATTTTCAATGATTATTCGAACAAATACCACAATAACAAGCATAATTAAAATAAGAAGACTACGCGAACGATGGGAGCTACTTGGTAAATAGTACCAGTAAAACTGCTATGGTTGGTCTTAAAAACACCCTTTCCACCAATTGTTTGGTGAAAGTTGTGAAGTACATTGCTTGCTTCTTAGCCTTCTAGTTTTCAAATAAATAACTTACAAAGAGCAGATCTTTAAATTCCCTTTTCATATTCTTATAACGAGTTAATAATTTATCTGTATAGTTAAAATATAAGTAACGATAAATTTAAAAATATTAAGTTTACTAATAAATAGTGCAAATTATATTATATAAAAGGATAAAAAATAATAAGTTAAGAATAATTTCTAGTAAAAGCAAGTTATATAAACTTTATCAAAAAACTTTAAAAGAAAAGTTATTTAGTAAAAAATAAAAAAGGTTATAAGCACACAAAAAAGCTTAGTGATTTTTACTAAAAGCGTTACCAAGTAAAATGACATTAAAAAGATAGCTTGGTAAAAAAAAACAAAAAATATAAAAATACTAAAGAAATTACTGCTATTTACAAAAACTAAGCGAGACACCCCTAAAAAAGTTAGTATGACTAGTATTCAACTATATTTTATAAAATTTAAGAGAGAAAAGCGTAATATCGATATATGAGTTTATCTGGTTATTATTAAACTTTTTTTTAAAAACATTAAAGTATAAACAACCGAAAGACCATTTCCTCATAGCTGACGTACTTTCTTTAAACGAACTTTTTTTTTCGGAATTCGCCTAATATTCAAAATTATCACGTGCTCCCAACGGCTTTAATTTACTAAGTACCACGCAGCGAAAGAAGCCGCGTGCTCCTGGCACTCTTTCGAAACGGACACTCCCCTGAGCCGTTTCTCGGTATAAAAGCGCTTCTAAACTCGTTCCTGAGCTAAAAAAGTAAAAGAAAATATGATAATAATTTAAACTAAAGCGAAAATTAGAAGTTATTTGCTATCACGATTTCTATTTAATCTGCAAATATATTAAAAAATAATATTTTAAACCACTTGATAATATTTAAATACTCGGTTTTTACTTATATGAAAAAATAGAAGGATACTACATATCTACATTTTAGGTGACCCTTTATCATGTCCCCTCTGTATAGTAAATATTAGGTTTTGCCTTCACCATGGTGTTGTGTTTATAGAAAATAACTGAAGAGAGCGTATCGTAACGTACCAACAATAAGAAATAAATATTTATAACCAAATATATAAAATAAAACAGAAAAGAAATCCTCAAAATTTCCATAAAAAACTTTTCATTGAGTAAAATTCTCTTATTTAAGCAAGTCGATAGAAGATAATAACTACAAAAAAACTTAAAAAGAAAATCCATTATATGCTTTAAAAAAATGATAAATAAACAAATTTTATTTTTTTAAAATAATTGGTAAAAATATCTTTATATACCTGACCTTTCAGTAAAATAACGAAAATACGGACAATATAGACCTTCTAGAAACTAATCCTTGATGCACTATAGCGGTGTGCAAATCTTTAAAATGCAACCCCTCTGGGCCAAAGTCTCCCAGTACTATTTCAGCTGCTTGAAGCCAAGTCATGTGACCTTCAAAGGAGTAATTATGTATATGATCAAAGGGGTTATATACCTTCACAATAATTGAAAAACTTTATTCATAAAGGTAAATAAAAAAAAGATAGTAGGATTAAAGAGGGAAAAGTAAAAAATTATGACTAACTTAATCGTAAAAATTTGAGAAATTTCATATAATTTAATTACAATTCAAATTTTATTGAAAGGATGCAAAGTTACATAATAATAATTTATGAAAGGTTGAACTTATAAAAAACTAACTATATATAAAATTGATTTTTAGGTTATAAATGCCTACTAAAACACAAAACCTGAGTGTTCCACTATTTCTTCTCTCTTACAAAAATCCGAATCTTCTTCGCTTAGAATATTAAGCTGAGGCGGTTTTTTCCTTTCTTTCACTACTTTCCTTTTTCCAGAAGAAAAAACAGCTTTCTTTGAGAATTTTTTGTGTTTATTAGTTTTTTTAGTTTTTAAAATTCCCGTTAAGTCGGCTTTTTTTTATAAAGTATTAAGTTAACCTACTGTATACGTAATATACACAATATTTAGTCTATACCTTCATCGTCCGAAAGTATTTTTGCTTTTTTCTCAAGGAATTGATTCTTCGCTATTAAATGAGAGTTAATAAAGCCACAGTTAACAAAGTAAAATTACTACCACTTTTTCTGCGTTTCTTTTCCAAACTAACAGGGATTTTTTTGGTTTCATCCAAAGGTTCGTCAGATAACATTATTAAAAGCCCTTTTAATTACTATTACACGTTTTCAAAGAAGCTAAATATTATTTTCTTATAAGTATTTTGGATAATAGTTTAACCCTAGTAAAACATATCCTATCGCAGTTCTTAAGAAGTGCATTAGGGCCACTTTTAACAAAAAGAGTCTGTTACACAAAGAAAAGACTTTAATTCCGTTTTAAAGGTCCTTGTGTAATAAGACCTCGATCTGATTCGCTCGTGTGTCTACTAAGTGTGTGGTTGTCTCCCGGGTTGTAGCTGGGTAAACTGGCTACTGACTGATGCGTTCATTGGAGAGCTTCTATAATGCGCCTTTTAACTACTAAGAACTGCGTTCCGTTGTTGGTGCCCTTAATCTTTGATGACGTGGGATTGCGTGATATGCTCTAGCGAAATACTGGGGTCATCACTGACAACGAACTTTCCTGGCAGCCGCACGTGGACTATGTAGTGGCGAAGGTAAAGGCAGCAACCAAGGCGCTTTACCCTTTATAATGCGACAAGAGCAAGTTTTCCCTGCCAAACAAACGGCAATTGTATATGTCTATGTCTTACATCCAGCCAAAAATGACATACGCGTCTGCTGCTTGGGCCTACGACTCCACTGCAATAGCGTCGGCACTTGAAGTGCGACAGAACAAATTTAACTGCGAATGATTACAAAGACAAACGAGTTGTGGTTTATGCGAAATGACGCCTTCCACCGGGGCCTTCAGCTATACCCTTTAGACGTCGTCTTCCAAAGTAATGCCAATGCCCTTTACGATAGGCTAGTCAGGCACACAAATTGCCTGCTGGCGAGCGAGCCTATTTACGAGCCATGGGGTGGGGCACACTAACCCCTCCCACTTCACGCGCGGAAGCGCCAGTTTTTGTTTGTTAATTTTAAGATAATAATGAGACCGTTTCGATTGAAAGGTACTGTGTAATAAGTCTGCGGTCACTACTCATTTTGAGCTCGAGTATTCGAAGATTTTTGACTCGATCGAGCACCAGGGGCCAGGGACTGTCATTTATAAATAAATAAATCCATACCCCTCTCCTTAGCTTCTAAATAAAACTTATTTTTTGGAAGTAGAGGTTATAGAAGACAGTGTTTTGCTAGAGATAACGGTAGATCTAATAAATAGTACTATTAAAAATAAACAATAGTAATAATAATAGTCATAACAGCAATAAACAAAGCGCTCTCACCAGCTATAATAAAAGTAATATTGTCAGTAGTAATTATATCAATATCAGGAACAAGGCTTTCTAACGAAAATGAATTACTGTCTAATAGTGTCTATTTAATCAAGATCTTGAAAGATTATATAATATAAAAATAGTTGTAAATTATTATGTTAGGCACGGTGATAATAATATTAATAACAGCTTTGATACTAACACTAATTTTGATGCTAACACAAATGTAAATAGTGAAGACGATAATAATTAGTAACAATAGCCACCCCCAAAAGCGACCAGCCTCACAAAGCATATTACTGAAAACAAAGTTGGTACAAAATATGTTAGACCTAAGACATGGGATCCGTGTCAATGTAGTTTTTGTAATTACCGGGAGAAAACCAAAATTTTAAACGAAATCAACTGCGATTATCATACCTATTTATCAGTAAAGAGTTTAACTGGTATTTCGCGTTGATGACGTAGAAAAAAAATGGTTACGAAAATTGTAAAGGCATATTTTTCTTTCTTTAAGGTTTAACACGCCTAAGTGCTTCTAATGCGTTTATCAGAAAAATACGGCCACTGCCTACTTCTCGTTAAGCTGCCTAAATATTAGTCAAGGATCTTCACCCTGAAAAGCATAAAGTATATCACTAAGTTGGTTAAACCCTAATAAGAAGTAGAAGCCTTGGTCAGGGCTGCAGATCTCAACTTTTTTGGACATGATGAGAAATACTGCAACCCAAGCTATGGTGGTTTTTAAGGACAGAATTGTAACAGCAAAGGCGTGCACGATAAAGCTACCAGCCCTAATTGGAGCATTTTTTGAATTATAAAGGTTGTAAATACTATCTAAGAAAAACTCCTATAAGAACTCAAAATAACGTCAAAATTAAATACAAGCTCTACAGTGCGTTATAAACAAGCATACTAATTAATGAAACTTCTATGATCCCCTTTAAAGAAATAATAATTTCGTATTACGAACAATTTAATTAGTTTCATGTAACTAGCAGAGTTATATAAAGAATTAAATAAGTGCTGAATAAAAAGGGGCCAGCCTGTTGCTCTTTTTGGATTCTGGTTTGGTCACGGCATGTGTTCAAGAGGCAAGAAATACTAAAGCTTATCTGCCAAATGAATTTGATAGCATTCCTATCGCTGAGGCACACCTAAAAGGAACGTAGCTAAATAGATAACTATTTAATCATCAGGAGCTACAGGATAAAAACTGAAAGCGGAAGCATTGCTCACTGGGTCAGACTTATAAGCCAATTAGTGGTCTTATAGTCTAGCCTAACTCCTCCCTATACTCTTAACCCTACAGTACTCGCACTTCTTATTTAGAAATTAGTAACCGCAGTAGATCTCCTCTCAGACCCCTTGCGTTTCAAATTGTTTCCCGTTAATTTTTGAACATATGTTGCTTATTGAGATATTAGGATAGAGGCCACTCTAATTTGAACTTCCATCTAACTTGAAAATTTAGAAAACAAAATCAGAATACAGCGAATACATTTCATGATATAATCTTACATTTTTAATTTTTTTTCAAATATTGTAGTTAAACGCCGTATGTTACTGCTGAAAAAATAAAAAGAAAGTTCATTTAATGTAAAAAAATAAATTTATTAAAAACTTTTAAAGGGGCATCTCATTTGACCAAATATAACCTATTTTTTTCGCAACAATCGTTACAAACAACAAGAGAATGTTCTAAACACAAGTATATTTTACATTTTTCGAACTAATATCTTGTTTTTCGCTTTTTACCCATACATAGCAGTTTCCTCTATGGTTGTCTCTTTCTTGAATCTCTTCCGGTTTTTGTATACTAAAAATTGATTTATTCTAGCAGTTATGTTTCGCAGAATATTTTTGTTTGTCGCACGCTCTCTGAAATGTTTTTAAATAAGTGCAAATAATAGATTTTCCAAAAATATTCTTTTCCTAAATTTACTTTGGTCAACGTTTTCTTATATAAATTGAAATTTTACACCAGCCACGTTCAGCATACTGAAGAATACTTCCATTAGCCACCACCTTGTGCCGCGGGCGCAATTATACAAAGAACATAATTATGTTGACCATAACTACACCAATCTTGGTTTAATTGTAGTTTGTTACTATCTCAGGTTTCCGTTTTTCTCCAGTATTATCAGTGCTGTCAGTTTCATGTAAACTTTATAATAAAAGCACAACCTTGCCTTTTATGGGTTTGTACGAAACTAGTGTGGATTTATTGCGGTTTTAAACATAATTGAAAACGGTGGACAGAGTTTACTAGTTAGAATTGAGGTGGTAATTCCTATTTGTTCATAAGCCTTTTGACAATATTAGTAGCATCATTATTTACTTTAAATGGTCCCTGTTGTGTTCCGACGTAAAACTCCTTATTTTTAGTATAGTACAATTTCTGCATCTGATAGAGCAAAAATTTTAAAGCCATATAATTGGTTTATTTGGCATAAATGGTTTAAAACTGCAACATCTCCTAAAAGACTACAATTTTCCATCTATTGTTAGATAATCGGATGGAACATAAGAGTTTTTACAGTTTCTGACAAATAAATCAAAAATTTGCCGTAATGGTGCCAATTTAGCTGTAGTCTTCCCTTCGGTCCAGGTGTCTTTATTCATCGAATCATATGTACCTCAATAGGAAATGGAATCACAGATAGATGTAGTAAGTCTGAAGATCTATTCCTGTACCATTTGTGGCCCATAGTTGCTCACTGTTTAGCCTACCACTCTTGGTAATACAAGCGAGATACAATAAGCTAAGAAGGGCTTATATTTCACTTCGACTAGTTAATTTAGCATTTCTTTCCCGAGCAAAGTTTAATATGCTTGAAATAAATTTATTGGTATTTTCAAGAATTTTTAAGTCGATAATTTCTTCTTAAAAAAATATTTCCAACAATCTATAGGAGTATTTTTTGCTTTAGGTCGAGAGCTTACTCTGGATAAATGAGTTACTATGTTTTGTGTTCTTGTTCTAACGTTTTTTGTAGGAATCATTTTACGCCACTTAGTATTCCCGTCTTCTCCCAAATACCATGGCCCAGTGTCTACTTCTTCATTCTCGTTATCTGATAACTCTTCCTCTTTGTCCGATTCTTAATCTCGGGTTTAATATTTGGCGATATCTTCGTCTATGTGCTCGTCATCGTCGAGTATCTCTTCGTCTGACTGAACTTCATCATGCAAACGTAAAAGACGAATTTGTTCTGCTTCTTAACCCCACATTATAGTTTTCTACAGAAAAAAATTGAAAGTTGCAAAAAATTATGCAAAAGTTCTGCTTTCTTACCTCTTAAACTAATACCAAATATAAAACAATAATTACACAAAAACAATGTTAGTGGTTGCAGGAGGACTCAGACTTCCAGTGCTGTTAACTCCCGAAGAAACACGTAAAATGCGAATTGGTGTCAGTCTAAGAGAGTACTTTATCGGAAGGTACCGGATTGATATCGAGTAATTCCTGAGATATACCTAAATTTAGAATTTCCAGATTTCTGAGACCTCTGCCACTATTGTAAGGTTAGTAATAGGTAACTTCAATTTCACTATAATTTTTTATGTAAATTCCTCATTTCATTAATTCACAATAATAGCAGATAATTTAAATTATAGCTGTGGTTGAAAACAATATAGAGCATAAGACTCTAAGCCATTAGATTTTCCACCACGCCAAAAAAGTGAAATATCTACCTTAAAGGGTCAAGAAACTATATATTAAGGTACCAAGCCCCAAACACATATAGTAAAGCTAACTACAGCGGAAAACTATAAACCATAACCCAGTCCCTAAAAGCCAAAAAAGCTATAATTTTTTTTATCCCTGCCTGGTCCCCAAAACGGTGGACACGTTCTATTTGTTCCAAAAATTGGGCCCCTAGTCGTACCACAAGCTGTTTCCCCTCTGAAAGGT